ATATATATATATATATATATATATATATATATATATATATATATATATATATATATATATATACGGTGCGCAGCACATTTAATACAGCGGAAATGGAATTTTTTTTGCGTACCAAATGTGAGTTTTGTTACTTTAGGTCTTGATTTTCCCCTTATTATTACGGTTTCTATATATAAAATTTGAACATCTTACTGATTTTTAGTGAAGAGATTTGCTGACGAAATTACACGACTATTTGCGGTAAAAGATATATTTACTGGTATAAGAATGAAGGATATGATAACTGATTTACCTAATGGTCACCGTGACCTCGTCATTGCAATTATTTTGACACAGAACAAAAATTTTTTGAAATTTGATATTTGCAGTGTATTTACTACACATATGTTAGTGAGATTATGCTTATTTCGTTCAGTGCATTCATTTGGTAGAAATAATTATAGCTGTTTAAAAATCGATAGTTATAAAGTTTTAAACCGATAATAACGAGTAGGCCAGGCTTTTGACCTATATGTTCAGATGTTCAGAACTAAATTTAAATTTGCGATCCTAGATGAAGTTGAGAATTCTTTCCTCTTATTTTGTCGATTGTGAAATGACGTAAAAAATGTCCTTTTCGCCATTTCGTTGTTACATTTTTTTCGCGCAAATATTGCGAATTTTGACATTTGTCGCTTTGGATTAAGTCCAGTTCGAAATTCAAACTTCTAAATTCCGTTAGCTTTGTAAGAAAGAGAAAACTATTGTAATGAGGTTTTTTGCATGAAATTTTAAATCCATATCAATCTACTATTGATTCCAAGTTTGTTTATCAGCACATCGAAGTGTTATAAATAACATTGCCGTAATCATCTATTACTCGATTGCTGTTGCTATAGTAATGTAATGTGATAAATTTTATCAGATTTGAAAGCTAAAAAGAAATTCCGGTGCGGTTATATATGTCCCATATATGTTTATTACTTTATTTACTACAGCAACGCTGTAGTAATAATATATGGTTTAAATTTGTTTTTTATGAATTTTTTGTGGATTCGTCATATCTCATTAATGATGACCTGGTTTGGGCTAAAAATTAAACCTGGAAAAATGATTATTTCTTCTGAACTAAAGAAAAACATAAGTTTTTTGCAGTTATCAAACAGATGTTCGATAACGGAGCTATTGAATTATCACTGATTATCATTGTGTTAATCACGATGTTTCTAATCAAATTGTTTCTTAGATGATATAACTTGTGGTTGTAAATGCTAGTCCTTAACTTCAGTTCCTTTTTCCCTTTTGAAAGGTTTCTACTATTTTATAAAATCTGGAACTCAAACTTTTGTCTTTAATCATATGGTCAAGGCATCAGCACAGAGTAGCAATTGACAATCTTGTTGTATGCATAAGTGTCATTGTCTTGGTTGTGGCGTTTCCTGGTCAAGTTTGAAGGACAAATGTTGGCATTTTCTCTTGTAAGCGCATATATATATATGTGTGTGTGTGTGTGTGTGTGTCGCATATGTATATATACACACATATATATATATGTATGTGTATGTTTCTGTCTGCATGTGTGGGTGGGCGAGTGTTTGTATGTGGGTGTGTGGGAGGTGTTTTCCAAGGCCATCATATAGTGCGGCCATTTTCCAGTAGAATTGTGAAAAAGTATGTGAATGTTTTATGGTTTTGAATATTCTTGCTTTATCATCAACTCTTTATGCGTAGTTAGTTTTTGATGTTGCAATGATCGCGTAGAGATGAAAAAGTTGGTTATGAAGGGAATGGAAAACATTGATTTGATGAGCTGAAGCTCTGGGAGAACTCACTCATTTTGGAATTATAGTAATTATTTTAAGTTTAAGAATTTTGGCTGAATATGATTTCATTTCATGAATTTGCGCACAAATGAATATCTGGTATCATTTGAATTTATGTAGATAATTAATGAACGGTGAACTACATTTTTCACTGGTTGGTTGCAAAATATATAATACAAACAAATTCTTATAGCCAGTCCGAATTCTACAAGTTAGTAAAATTTTCATGTCTGAACTTAAAATTCAACTCCTGAAGATAGCAAAACTAAGTCAAATGTAGTACCGCCATTCCCTGTTCCAGGGATTAATGATGTGACCTATATAACGGAGGCACTTTATCGTCCTCTCATCAATTTTACAACGCTTTATTCTAATTCAAAACACACTCTTCGCACACAGACACATCTTTTCGTTCCATTTTGTATAAACTTCTAATTCGTTTGGTATTCATTCATCTTTAGTTAGAGTGTTGAGTGTTCCAAATGGTACCACATAGTGCAGAAAGGTGGGTGGAAAAGGTACCTCAGATTCTTCCCAGGATAAATGAATGTTTGAATTGCAGGATTTCATTGGCGAAGCAGTATCATCCCTCACTTATGAGATGCTTGGGCACACGTAGGAATTCTAATTTCAAACTTAATTTATAAAACTGTATCGCGCTGTTCGGAATGTTTATTTTGTGCACAATTATAAACTAATCCATAATTGCATGCTTTTAGGAAGTGATTTCTTCTTGTTGATTGAAAAAAATGATTATGGAACGACAGTTGCAGAGCGAAAAGTTAACTTTTAACCGGAATCGTTCTTTCATCGGTAAGTATTCGATATTTCCATGAAACACAGTAAAGTTATCTATGATTCTAGGATAAATCAAGTGTAGTACATGTGAGTGTGGCACCAAATTCGAATGTCACTGAATACCGCAAACGGAATTCAGATTTTAAATACTTTCCATCATATTTCTCGGTTCAGGTAAGGTAAAAGCTGAGTGAAGTATATACTCTATGAATGAATTTATTCACGCAAACAAATTTGAAATTGAATTTAGTGAAGGTGTATGTTTCGTTCATTCTTATCTCTATCAAATTTCATTTGTTTAAACACACTATTCTTTCTTTTCTTCAGAAATTTTTAGTGCATCACATTGATTAACACTATTTCTGATTTTATTCAATCATGAATTCCGATACCAGTCAATTCTTTAAACACCTTCACTAAATTCAATTTCAAATTTAAATTTGTCCGTGGCATGTTTGAAAGAGAAGTGAATGGACGTGTGTATGTATGTATGTATGTCTGCATCTGTATGTGTGTCTGTGTGTGAGTCTGTATGTGTATGTCCCTGTTGTTGATGTATGTGTTAATGATATCGTACAATATATAATGATTCCATTGTTCATTTCATTATCATCAAAAAGTAGAAAATGTTGGACATTGGGTGGTTTGAGGATGGATGGAATGTTTACTGTCACGGCAACCTTTCCTCTCTCTTTCTCTCTTCAAAAATACTTCATTATATAGAGAGTGGTTTATAATTCTGTGAATAAGAAAAATTAGGATGAACTGTGTATTATTAAAAACACGCTACTTTGCTACTGGTTAATGTGCGGTGTTGATGGCATGCTTAATAATCACTAAGCCTAATCAGACCTTCATAAAGTGACCTCTTTCATTTCTGTTTTAATCAGCTTGCATAATTTCTCAATGACTAAAATATTAAAAAGCGAACGTTTGGATATAGGCATTTCCATCGATATAAATCAAGTGATTGTTCCTGCCAATGAGATATGTTGGATGTACAGAAGATCTTATTATTCAGGTCATCCTGCAATTGTAAATCAAATGGTTTTTGTAATCCGTAATCCGGTTTTAACCAATTGTCCGAGGTTTACTGGTTGGCTTAATAACCAGCCTCGGCCTCGTTTTCAATGCGACTATAAGTTAACATTCTTAAAAGTACTGTCGTATTACGAATCTCCGATTAAACTTGAAAAACCCTCTACGTGTAAGGTCATAAATACCGTCTGCTCGTTGAATATGAGCCTCGTATATCACTTTGACGGAGCGTAAGGACGCCGTTTCTCATTTTAATCTACAATACTAACTAGGCTGATACCGGATTATATCTTTTCTAGTGTGAGTAGGTGTAAACAAGTGACTAAAAGACTTACTTCAAGAGACTGTAGTTTGAAGTTGAAATTTATAAACGATACAATAGACCGATGCTGTTGAAGCGTTAAAATGAATTGAAAGCCTTGAGGATTCAGTGGATTTTAGAATAGGCAAATGATGTATGCTATTTTTACTGTTCCTTTGTACGTTTTTTTTTCTTTTTGGAGTATTCAGAATTTCAGGATAATTACTGTCCAGAAATAATTAATTCCTCTCTCCCTTCCCTTCTCCCAAATGTTATTTCATCTTTTTAACCAAAAATTATTCACTTACAAGTCGTAAAGAAATTTTGTTTGTAATCGTATTTATTTGATTTGTTGATTTCATCTGAATCTCTGAGAAACAAAAAAAGCCTCAACCGAGAGATTACAACTGTGCGATGGAATTCCCCTTTCCATCACTGTGTATTCTGACTTTCTTCAAGTCTCAAGAAGTTTTATTTTTTGGTCTTGTTGCTAAAAATAATGAATTACTGTTCTTCTGCTCTAATCAGGCTTAAACTCTGTCAGGACTATAATATTCATAGGACCTTTAACTTTTAACATCCCACGGATATGTCAAAGATTTTGAAATATTTTATTTAATTTTAATAATAACCAGCAATATCCTTATCGACGAATAGATTATGCAAAGTCGCTTGATCGTTATTAATCACTTTAGGAAGTCTTGAGTTCATCCATGTTAAATATACGTGTCTGAAATATGTTGAACTGAATAACCGGACAGCCATGAAAGTTTACTTATAGTATATGAAAACAGGATTGATAAAAAAGAAAACTGACGCTAAAATTCTTTTTAAAGTCGTCCCACCATTCACTTATCCGATTTTCCTGAAGCTCGAAAACCATGTTTTGGTGTAGGTGTTGAGGGTCAGATGGTGATGGTGACAAATGGAGAATGTTTAAAATTCACTGTCAAATTCCGACAGTTATGAAGTGGAAGTGCTTTCCCAGTGCTATCAACATCAATCAAAACATATTTGCCTCTCTCTTTAGTGTTGTCTTCCTGTTAATATCCGGCACTCCTTTTTTTTATTTCTTCGGAGCGATATTTTCGCCAGCAAATTAATCAGAAAAAATATGCGATCTAACAAGGGAGTTTTTACAGTCTAATGAGATACGCGAATTCTCGGATTTTTTTTCTGTCCCGTGGCACTTTCGTTGTTCCATTTGATCCTTGAAATGTAAGGAAGGAAAACGGATGAATATTTTTGCTCTCTTTGATATCAAATGTAGATTGAAACAATTAAAGTTCTACACAAAGAAGAGAAGTGCATTGAAATTCTTAAATTAGTAGTATAACAAAAGTCAATACTGACAACATCATTGGGATTTTTCGATCATTGAATGCAGCTCAACTTCTAGTGCACTAGTTTCTTGGATAAGGCTTTCCGTGTTTTTTTCATTGATCAGAATGTTAGTAGTCACTTCTTTTGTCGTTTAGCCTGGTATTCTTCTGACCTACTTGAAATATGGGGAATATGTTTTACCATATTTCAATATTACCTAACCCGTGCAATCTCAAACCGCTACTGTCGTATTATAGTGGTATATTTACGAAAGGAATGTTGATAAGGTAAATAATAATTGTAAAGTTATTATATCTAAACCTTACTGATGCAATGTCGGATCGTTATTGGTAAACAAGTTTATCCATACTTCTCTTCCATTTTTGAAATCAAATGAAGGAAGGAAGAGATATGAAATGAAAATAAAAGGGATCCATTTTGAAGTTACTGTTTCTCTTTTTATCCTCATCGTTTCGGACACAGCCTTTCATTTGTTCCATAAATCAAGAAACATCGAGACACGTGTCATTTCCCCTCTTCTCTCCTCCCAGCTATCCCTTTCCGATCCTCATTTTTCAAACTTCCGATCTGTGTTTGGAATCAACTGACGATAATTTACTTGATAATTTGATAAGTTTTTTTATATGAAGGAAACTTGATCCGAAATTCTTTGTTAATGTTAAAACATAAATAAGAAGAGGAATGAATTAATTCTATCTATAATTTCTGTAATTCGCTTACTCGCTGAGCATTTGCCTATTTATTTTTCCTATAGTTGTTTACTTATTTGATGATTGGAACTTTACTGAATACTTTTATTATACTGGTCCCATAATCGCGGTTCGATGTTAAAGTTCCGAATATTTCCTGCTACTTTTTTGGCTGTCCATTTGATAATCAATTCAACTTCATTTCTCATACTCTCTTATATTTTCATTCATATGACTAAATCCACAGTGGACTCCCAATCATCGATGTTAGAAGGGAAATGTAATATATATGCATATGGGGTGCATCTGCGCCACATACATACGTGCATATGCACACTACCGCTGATTTGGACAGTATTTCACTAATTTTAATCGTATTTCTCGACTACCTCTTTATTCATTATATTAGGTTGTTTTATGTGACAGATACGTTTTTTTTGGTAAGTAATCAATCAGAAGGAATGAGGGACAGGAAACGGAAATCTAATTACATTATAATGAGGGATAGTATATTATGAAAGAAATAATGATTTGGGTGGTACCGTCCAGGACAAGCTTATTCATTTATACAGAGGAGCCGGATGGGTCTGTCAATTTTGGCTTATCAATGCTGCTGAACTGTAGTCATTAGATTTATGAGAATTTGAACAAAATGGAAGTGTAAGAAGTCTTGACTGTGATTCTCCTTAAAAAGAGTTAAACATATTATTTGTTTTCTCTAGACCTAGCGTAAAATAATGTAACAATTGTGGTTTAGCATAAGCGATTCAGCTCAGAGAATTCTTTATATTTGTAACAGTTTCATTCTAAAGTATTTCATTTCTCCTTTTTTATCTGATAAATATGCTCTATGTTATATCGTAATAAGCTGCTGACATGAATATTGCATTGTATATAGCTTATCCAACAGATTTTTTTTTGAGTCCAATTAAGAATTCTTTCATTTCAGAGACTTCTTGTAGTTTTCAGGTCAGATTTATGTATCGCTTCTCGGATGAAAATTTCATTTCATTTTATGAAGGATACTTCATTTCCTTTACTTATTTAGCTTAATTTTATCTTTACTTATTTCACTTAATTCTATCTTAATTTATTTCACTTAATTCTATTTGCTGATGGTTCTATCGCTTATCCACAAAGAAGGAGGGATGGTCAAATTAAATAGAATTCATATGGATCATGTTCTGACAACTTCAGTATTTTAAATTGTGAATTTTGAAACCAGAAGGAACCATCAAAGAAAATATCACTGATATGTTGTGTGTCACAACAGCTGCCATGTACCTTAAATGTCATATGGCTTTTCGAGATTACATAAGACTAATTATTACCAACGCTTACTTAGTTCGGACATGAATAATTTTCATTTGATTATTAGACAGTTTCTTTAACTGTTCCCTTCCTCATATATGTCTCTCTCCACTTTGAGTAAAGCGCTGAAATCACTTAGTTACATGAAAAGTTGTTGGTGGTCGAAATGCTCGTTCCATTTTAACTGGATATCTTTCATTCCATGTTTGACTTGCTCTGCGCGTAGGTGATAAGCTGATATTGTCAATAAATTATTTGTAGAATCAATATGAGCGTTCCATTGTCCATGGGTCCTATGTTGCTAATGGAGAGTAGACAGACAAACGGTCCGATGTATCACGGTCCTCATTACATGCAACCTGGACCACCACCAGCACCTGTAGTACCAAATGGTACTCATATTCCGCCCAGTTTGATACAGTCGCATCATTCAGTGCACGGACAGACTGCTCCATCCGGACAGCACATTATCACTTCCTCAATGAACAGGTCTCAAAGGTTGGTAAAAATCTAGTTTCAAGCCTATGTAACTTATCTTTAACGCTTTCAAAATCTAAAGTTTTCCAAAATCTAAAATTTAAACTAGGACTTTTTAAATTCGGATAACCTTCAGACTTCTTCGGTTAATTTCAAAATAATTAAAATCATAATTTTTTATTTCTGATATTAATAACTCACTACTTTGTAATTTATTACTGCTTGAGGTTATTTAAGATGTGGTGTATGTCGAGGCTGTCAATGTAAGCCTTGTGGACAGTGTACTTATTGTCAAGATAGTCCCCAGTTTGGTGGTCCAGGTGTTAAGAAGCAATCTTGTATCGAACGAAGATGCTTACGTGTACTTGAAAACAGATTGCAGGTTTTCTAAATTATATTACATATCTTCATTTTAAAATATCCCAAGAAAAAGTGGAATTAATTTATACCCTAATTTTGAAATCCAGAAGCAATATTACCAGCCGAATAAAGTTCAAACATATTTTGTCTAACAATTTTCGTTGATAAGAACTTGAAAGAGACATCACTTTTTGAAACCACTTCAGTTTATTTTATTATAGAGAGATGCACCAACGTTCAAAGCTCGTGTTGGATGTAATCAGTGCGAGGACTGTCGGATGCCGGATTGTCAAATATGTCTCGTCTGTCTTGACAAGAGGTCCATTCACTTTTTCTAAATTTGTAAATTAAGGGAAATTGAATTTCTATTTAAACTTCTTATTAAGAAGATTATTTAAGCGATTTTTTGATGTATTTTTAATGGATTATCTGAAATAACTTTTTAAGATTTTTCGATAACCGATATATGACTGGTGCAATGTGTGCCAAGAAACGTTGTAATAATGCCACAAGCATAGAGCTACCTGCTGCACAAAATATTGAATTACGACAGGTATAGATGGAAATATTATTCTGTCCTTAAGATGTATTTTATCTGGTATTATGAGTTTTGCATATGCTTAATCCCCAAATGATACTATCCTAGTCTATTTCGTGGTTAATAGGAAATATCCTGTCGTAGGACATCTTGTTGATCATCGCCTGAGATGCCTTACAATATTGTTATTTACTGTAAGGTTGGTACTACGAATAGTATTATCGCCGTTTCTTGGCTATTGCTATGTTCACTGAAGTATCACCAGAGTATTGCAGGCACATAAGAGAACATACGATCAGTCGGGAATAACGGATTATCAGATTATGAAGCGTCGCGCTCATCAAAGTCTAGAGCAACTGGGACCCACACAACAGCGTGTCCTAAATATGCCAACAGTTCTGAACGGACAAGGATGCCCTACCCCACCGGGTGCAACCGCTCTTTATGTCAGTCAACAAATGCGATTGGTGCCCTCCCAATCCGGAACACCACAGCAATTACTCATTGTCCATCATCAGCAACAACAACAACATCCACGAACTGCGGCTGTCGTTTCATGCAGTACTACAGGAGGTGCCGAATCGACTGTAGTTACCACCACCCAGGGATCAGTATCAGTTGCGAATCCCGATGCATTGTCTGGTAACAATAGTTCTATGCATGTGGCACCACAGTCGCGACATGTCCCACATCCTACACCTCAATACGTTCAACAGATACAAGCGGAACACGTTTCCCATCCGTATCTGATTGTAGGAGCGGCACCTGGTGTCTCATACCTTCCGAGCTACGTTGAAGAACGTGCAGCACCTCAGTCGGATCCATTTACACCACCGAGTTATGCACCGGAAATGAAAAATGTCGTCGTATTGCAGCCCTTATGAATTGCGTCTTTTGATCAGAATTGAAGGTTTGTAATAAGTGTGGTACGTTTGCAGTAGATTTAAAATGGCCAACTTGATCGCTTCGAATTTTCTCAATTGCTTTTTCTCCAAGGGCAGTTGCATATTCTTGCCGAGTTTCCCACTGTTTCATTTCCCAATTTTCTTAGATCACTTGACTTTTTAAATGTTGTGATTCCATGGCTGTTACTTATTGCCTTCTTCTTTCTCTCCTGTGACGTATTCCTTTTCAATTTCTCACTTTATCATTTTATTTCACGTGTTTTTTTCTACTTCATATTACTGTAAGATCACAGTTATTATCATACGTCTCAAAATGGATGCCACGCATGAAATCTTCCAAGATGTATTGAAGATATGCTGACGTGATATACAAACGTGACCGTTAAGACTGGCTATTGTTTTTAAGAGGACAGGGGTTTGAATTCGATTTCGATTCACAACTTCCCATGCTTATTTTGATCTCATCTCTCCATTTAAACCAATAGGATTTAAGGATTTATGATAATGAGCTGAAATACAGAGATTACCAAAAAAAAAAAACCTCTGTTCCGCAATGTGCGGAGCAGAGATAAGTTCCGTACCAGTGTAGGCCGTATTATTCCATTACACATCTCCCTTAATGTTTTCCCTTAAAAATTAAATTCAAATGAATAAATCTAGTAGATTACGAGAAGGTTCCAGTTACTTCATTTCCGATGCTATCGATTCCAACTTTGCGATGATAATTGCTTGCATTTTTGAGCAGCAAAGGTCAACATCTCCGACAGGTTGTCTTCAGGTATGAGATACCATTTGATAAACCACCAACTGTATAAAGCATTTTAAAAATTCTATAAGATGGCCCACTGCAATAGCCGACTTTTCTGCACGAAGAGGTGATAGTTTTCAGTATTTTACAGCTCGAGGTTTACAGGTGAATACTAATTTGAATCGAGGTTGTAATTTTAATTGGATTAAATGATAGGATTACACCATCCTTACTGATATATGCAAGTGACTGTGTATGATTTGTGTGTGATATTCCTTTCTTAATTTTCAGTCCCTCTTTAATCATAACAATCACTTTGATCATTTCTCTTTTTCAGTTTCCTCTATTACATACATACTTTTTACGTGAGATCAGTGCCTTATCATCCATTATTGTTTCTCTCTTTTCTAAAACCTTAGTAAAGTTAGTATGTTTTCACTTCTACGGCGTATTACTTTCGTTTTTTCAAAAGCATTTCGTATTTGAAGTTTTTTTTTGGTGCTTGCCTATAATATTATAATGGATTTTCAATGTAAGAATAAAGTTCAAGGAATCAGCATTCAACTTGGGAAAAATAAAATGAAAACCAACAATTCAGTTTCATTAAAAAAGAAAAAAAAATCCTCATAATTGTTCAGAAATTCCCTATTAGAAGTTTTTAGTGCAAATATAACATTCAATCCATAAAGACGCTGGCGCACCGACAAATTTTGTATCTCAAATATCTGTTTGTGTGTGTATTTCCTAATTCATGACGTAAAAGCTCTCTTGCTTCCATTCCTTTTCATTAAGTGCTCACTGAATCCTTTTCCTCTAATATCAATCGTTTCAGAAAGTTTTGTACTTTAGTTTCTTCTACCGCCAAGAGTCCTAGCAAAATTAGAATTTCACTGGTTTCATCTTCAGTTTGAAGCCCCAATATTTTAAAATCCTATCACTAAAAATCGACAAATAGTACTACACCTTAATGGCTTTCTTTCCAGAAAGTAGTCAGTAACCCCCTATAAGGAATAAAACTGTCCCAAACTCCCGTCATTCCGATAGAGTGTTGTCTCTTATGTATCTATTTCAAATGTTTCTACTTGAAGTTTCACGTTTCGTACATGTTGTCTTGAAATTTTTAATCCATCGAAATTAAACCGATCTTTTTCTGGAGCAGTTATTTGTATTGTGTGTAATAAAAACAGCAATAAATGTGACCGATTTACCGTTTTCATCAAACTATGATAACACAGCACATAATTAACAGTGTAATCATTGAAATTATGTATATTTACTTAAGTATACCTACCACTACGCAGATGTCTGATGAAACGGGAAAAAAATGAGAAAATAAATAATTTCCCATTCAATGAAGTGTGACAACTCCAACTCAGCTTAAAATTCAATTTTGCTCAAAACTTGTTCGGATATTATAGCCCACTTAGAGTTCCAAGTTCATCAGTGTATATCCCCATGACTGAAGGTCAAGCACAACTTTGCAGATGTTTTTCACATACTAATGATTAACATAAGTGTGCCCACCGTTACAGAGATAAACGATTTGACTCGATAATTTATCGAGGGTATCAAAAGAATCAGGATGGTATTTGTGTATATGCTGTTGAAATCTGCAACAAAAGTCATCAGCATTTGTAGAATGCTCACGCCTTTTATTATCACATTAGAATTACAATTTCAAGAGAGTCAAGAACATTTTAAAATTAATTTACAGGCTCCATTTGAAAACAATGTTTTTTCCATGAAAATTCACAATTATTAAATTGCGAACTTTTGCCGACCAGAATACTAGAATATCACGCTTTTCACCACCAGAACTTCTAGAAAAATATTGCAGACTTTGGGAAGGTCCCACACAAATAAATTCGAAGTTGAATATTCAACCAACCAAGATGGCAGAGCAAGAATAAGAATTAAACAGATCCCTTCATTTTCGAGGGTTATAATTGAAAATATTAACCAGACGTTCATAAATTGGGGAAAAAAACTTCGTAGAGAGTCTAAATCCGCTTCCTCTCTTCATCCTATACTTCCTCCAACATTTGAACACTGTCCGAAATAAAACAAAGCGAAATCTTGATAGTCAAGTATAATACTAGTACTAAGAGTTCCTACAATGGAAAAACGCAAACTTCGCACCAGGGTTGACCTGGAAGTTCTAACATGATTCCGTGTATGTGAAGCGATACAGAAACTAAAGTTTCCCAGTATTAGACATGAAGTACTGAAATTTTCGAAATCTTTTACAAAGCCATTCATGAAAATAAAGGCAAAATGAAGAAATTTTCCAAATTCACCAAAAAAATCAAAATATCAAGAAACATCAGATAGAAGAATAATGCTCTAGAATGCCCTCTCTCATCAGCATTGTCCCTGAAATCATTAATTTGAAAATATTATATAAATTCTATATGAAAAGCAAACCAGTCCAAGCACTGCTTTGTCATAAGCCTGTAACTGCCCATATTTAAGTCGCCTTTCTTGAAGATTGAATTTCCGAATCCAAGAGTTTTTTGCATTCATCTTCATAAAGCACTTTTACCTCATTATTTTTTTATTGAAATTCTGAACAAAAATGATTCCATTGAAAAATAAAATTAATGATTCCTAGTAAGAATGACGCAGGGGAATACCTAGACAATACGTATAGAGCTCCAAAATAAGCGATAAAATATCGTGTGGTTCCCATCTACCAAAAGTGGAAAACAGACTGTCACAAAGAAAACATTATTAAAAAAATGCATATCTGCCCAAGATTATTTTGATGACTTTGATAGCAAGAATTTGATTTTTTCATATAGCTTGATGTTGTCACGTACTTTCTCGCGTTCATTTCTCAAATATCCTACTGGTTTGCTTCTGAGCAATAAGTTCCTGCTCCAATCCTTCGATGCGTTGATGAAGTCGATAACGTTCAGCTAATATTATTAATAAAATATTTTTGCTCTCCTCTGCACTTGTTTCTTGCCTCGCTACTAGTACTGTCAATTTTTTGGCCAACATCTTGATCAATCGCTGAAAATTCGCCGCTGATGAAGTCCGTTTCGGCGACCATTCCCTTAATGTTCATCTCATACACGGAGCAATGACTGCCAACAACAAGGCTTGCGGAAGACAACAAATTTGGCGAACAGAATGCAAACGAAATTTTTTGACTACTAAAAAAATGAATTTCCAAATAAATCTGCGATGTTATGGAAAATTCCTTAATTGAAATGTAGCAAATATTACACCCACTTGTATTTCGGGTGAAATGACATGGAAGCCCAGTAAATTAGCCTCCAAACGTGCAATCAGCTCACTCTGTCAGACCACAGCCGTTTCAAGCTCATCATGAGCGCTTTTCGCTGCTGTCAATCGCTCTGGAAAATAGCACATAGTATTAATAATCTGATGATCCCAATTATGAATACTTTGAAATCAAGATTCTAAGAAAACTCGGTATTTGACATGACTCGTGTCATGAAAACTTTTCAGTAAGGAAAAACTTAGCAAGTAGCAATGCTAGGATATAGCCACACAAAAAAAAAGAAAAAAACATAAAAAACATAAACCCCAATTGACCAAAATTTGCTTTTAATCGAATTTTACCATGTTCTACACGAATTTAACACAATTGCAATGCATGTTATTTCCACAGAGATTAAACTGCAAGTTTCGACAGTATTTCTCGACTGAAAGACTGGAAGATGAAAACATCAAAAAACGTTTTCTTGAGAATAAAGAGCAACAAAAGGAACTGAAGTAACAAAACTTGCAGAGCCTGAAGGAAGAGTTGAAAAAGTTATTGAAACTGGAAGAAGTTATACCATTATTTTATGAACGCCGATTAGAGAAAAAAGGCAAAATAGAATTTCTTCATTAAACATGTGATAATAATGACTGCCATTTGAACTGCAAATAAGGAAGGGTAAAGTATCACAACTACAACAAATTTTGAATCACAAAACTTGAATTATTTGTAAATTATTCCAGAAAACTTAAGCCTCATAAAAAAATCGGAAAAATTGAGAAACTGTAAGATAATTATTCACAAGTAAAAAATAAGCTTCAGGAGCATAGCATATCATGCAAAGTAACAAGTGTGAAAAATAGTGAGATCAAATTTTCGAAACAAAAACAAAAAAAGTAGAGATTCTAGATAAAAACAACCAAACGCATCAAGAGGCTCATAAAAATATGGACGAAAAAAAGTACAAGTAATGAAGTAGAGATCACCTTCAACTAAAACTCCTGAAATAAAATAAAAAAGGAAAAATATACAATGAAAAATAATTACTGACAGTTATGATTAATAAATCAACAAATAAAGCGACAAGAAAAATTGCTTTTTGAAAACATAAACTAATGGCGGTTAAAAAAATTTTCAAACTCAAATTCAAACCCAGATGGGGTTAGACAGTGCAACAATAAAGTCTGCTCGGTGGGTTTTACACTTTTTTTCCAATTCCAAGTCAACTGAAGTATGCATATAAAATGAACATCATATTCTCGTCATCAACTACGTATTTTGTAAAATAATTAAGAAGATACGAGAGCATATCATATAATCCGAAAATTTTCTTCCGGCCGCTAATTCAGCTAATAGCAATAAAACATTGTATACATTACAATAAGAAAAATTTGTTTGACGATTGCGAAGATATAAATTAAGGAAATGGACAGCCAAAAATATGCTTTTTGGAAATAGTTCTTTCCAGCTTGTTAACAATTTTTGATATCAAAATTCTACATTCGAAACCAAATAAACTACAACTGCTTGGCAGCATTGAGTTTTTGAATCCGTTCAATTGCTTTATCAAGAGAACTGTTTTTGGCAATAGTGTTTCTAGTTAAATTGCTATTACTGCTTGATGATACCATTGTTGGTGACCAGTGATATGGTTTTGATTCCAATTTCATTAATTCCGCAAGATCCTACAATCCCAGATGCTTGTAAATAATGTCTGCTATTAGCATGGTGAAGACCACACCACAAAATGAAAATCCACAAAAAAGAACTTCATTATTGGATCTTTAAAACCACTACAACAAGTGGTGCTAGTGTTTTTCACTTTCTCAGATAAATGCGTAATATATGTATTCAGAAAAAAATAAATTAATGGCATAAATACTACATGCTTTTCGAAAGTGGCATGCATATAACTCCTACAGTATTTTCAGTGGTTTTCTTAGATGCATTAAATGGCAAATACAATCCTAACAAAGAAAAAAGTTTTACTCTAGGAAACAGGTTTACAAACTATTTCACCCTGCAAACCGCTCACGGTTATGAGGCTAGGTCATTGATAGTGCAAAGTATGACGATAGTGAATGGATTACTGAAATAATGCGATGCGGATACTATTGGCTGGTTACCTACCTAGACCTCACTTAATAGTAAAAACTAATAAATATCTGGAAGATTGCAATACCAAACAACAAATATAAAAAACAGATTAACCTGTTTCCACCGATCATTGTTATTTTTTCCATTCACTGAATTTCTCTTTTGTCCGTTGTCCCCATTTGGATGATTTTCAGCTCTCAAACTCGCCTGTAATTTAAGTTTTGGAAGAACCGAGGTTGAGGAAAATACAGCTATAGATTTATAATCTTTAATTTATTTTGAAAAAGATCCGTCCAAACCTTTTGTCGAGTCCGATAATTGTGGAACCAATTGCTTACAGTCCTAGTACTTAAAGAAAGAGTTTGCGAGAGTTGCTCAATTGTTCGTTGGTTCGGATGCTGGTCACGTTCAAAAACATGTTTCAGTGCTTCTTTTTGCTGATCCGTAATTACTGTTCTCTATAACAGGAGAAGGAATTTTATTTCGAACTTGTTAGTAAAATAATGCATTAAAAATCCAAGAACCAATAACATTTTTGAACAAAGTTGAAATGTTAGTAAGGCTTAGTCAGTCAATCTTTCATGTTAAGACTGCGCTGATTCTTTCACAGAAAATTCATAAAAATCAAAATGACGAAAAAAAAACCTGTGCTTTCTTCGGTAGCTCGCCAACAGCAGTTGTGTTCAAAGCTGCTTTTCTTTTCTGTGGTGACAAACTTTTTGTTAAAGCACCTGTAGAAGCCAGCGTATCCACCATATTTGAAAAGGTTGCTGTGAGGGATGAAGATAGTAGCGGAGTGGGAGTAGATGTCTCATGTACTCTTCTATTCCCATCCAGTTCACCGAGCCATTCGCTCATCCTGAGATACAAATCACGAGCACGTGGGGATAATTGTTCCCAAGTTTTTGGCTTGGCCAGAAGTTCTGACACACCTCCTGGACTTACTCCCAGCACCACGTCACCAAATGTCTATAAAGGGAGGATAAGTTAAAGAGTAAAGGCAAAAGCAGGGAAACATTCAATCCAAAAATGATATGATTGAGACAAAAATATATTCTGCAAGACATAAACAAGATGAGACAAATAAAACAATAGCATGACTTCCACAGAATTTATATCTCATTCTGTTATCCTTCAATTTTGTTAGACTTAGATGATGAAATGGCAGGAGAACTTCAAGAAGGTATTAAATTAAAGAATAAAAGAGTGGAAATAACGACAAAATAACTTCGCTTCACATTCTACATAAAAGCCAAACAGGAGGAAAAGTTTCAATTCAAAACACCGCCTCAATCACGCATTATATTGGTAAGCCAGCTGAAATCAAATATATAATCTTATAATATTTACATAATGAATAAAAACAGACTTTCTGAGAAATTCCACTGCTGTGTAATCGATCTTTGACTTGCCGCGCAATCTCACTTGTATCAGCCATTAACAGCTTTTTTTTCACATTTCGCATCATTTTTTTGTCACCATCATCCATGACGCACACTTTCTTAATTTTACGCGTTTTTTCAGTACGCTTCACAGTCTACACAGAAATAAAAGTCAGCAAGGATATAGATTCTTCAGCTATTCCAAGACTCAATTTATAAATTGCTCACTGTTGGGATAAATCCCACCTTGAAATCTTTTCACATCTAGAACTGCATGAAGATCGAGCATTGTGCAGACAGCTACCACCAAAACGAGACCCCCAATCAGGTAAGGTAATCTGTTTCAATATATAACTTTTTGATCTGTCTAAACAAAGACAAAGATAACGTTGTCAGTTTAAAAATACATTTCGAAGTATTTAATTAAGCTTTATATATGCGATTTTGTCTGGACGCCCTGATTTATTTATATGCAGTAAACATTAACCTCGTGATCAATTTCGTCAGCTAAAGGGAAATTTCGCCTGCTAAGCAATCCACTAATAGAATTTTGTTTTGCGCCATTGTTTGTTTCATTCTTAGACAGCACTTCCGAAGATTGAATTGCACCTAATTTCCCATTCAACTCTGTAAAATATTTTTCTGTTCGGGGAATTGTGTTTAAACGTCGTTCTTTTTTCTTTTTTCTTTTTTTTTTTTTTTTTTTTTTTCTACACGATTTAACATCACAAAACAGTGCATCGATTTTGGTCCCTTACAAATAAAAAGGACGAAGAGAGCCACAGCACCTGCTTCAGGTTTACAAACCAAAGACTGAGCTTCGTTTAAAAAAAGCTGCATGCGCACAAACGGTTCGCGTCCTTTCTGCGTGAGCATAGTCCAGGGTTTAGGCCTTGCTAAAAGATCCGAAACAGATCCTTGAGAAAGACCAAGCACATATTCACCAAACTGACGTTGAGATATTGAGTTTAAGCAAAGGAAATCTTTGATCTGTAAATGACGACACCAGTTAACTGCAACAATTTTGAAAAATGAATTTCATGGAAAAATGTTTTAGAATATGCATGAAAGTTAAAACTTTATTATTTACTTGTCTCACGATATCTTCAGTATCCAATACTGGATAACGTTCAAGCTCTTCCTGCGTTATGGATGCCATTCCACTACGACATTTCAAAGCAAACAAAGCCTGAGCAGAATTTACAGGAAAATTTGATTGTAGCGGTGAACCGGTATCTCTTGTTGATCCGCAACGAGACGACGATGATGACAAAGAGGAAGATTTATTCGATGTTTCTATTGTTGCAAGCTATGAAAAAGAATAATGGAGATATGTTGGTTGACAAACTATGTTTGTAAAACCTTTTCAACTAGCGTTGAAAAGTCATATTGAAAAGTTGTTAAAAATCAGAATTGTCCATTGGAAACCCCCTAAAATGGTGGAATCGCGACAATAATAGAGGCGAATTTCTTCTTTAGTTTTTATTTGCTTTCCTTTCAATGCTCTTTCATTTTAAATTAATCAGAGTCTCTGACACAACGAAGTCCACTGCAACTGAAAAAATTGCTGTGAACATCAGTAAGAAAGCAAAAAATAATATAGTTTACCTTTTCATCCTTACTTCTCACAATTAAAGGCCGTGAACCAATTGCCTGTTCTAGATGAGATTCCTGAAATCCGGAAATCCCTATTTCCGAAAACGATGGATATTGGTATCATGAATTGTAACAGCCATCACGCTACAGATAACTTGTGAACTTGATCACTGAAATTCGGAACTTCAGCAATAAAACTAGCAAAACTTACTTGCTCCCTTAACAATGCCAATTCACGCTTATATATCTTCATAATTTTTTCTTTCGGTATGTCGTCATGTCGCCAGCGACTTGTACGCTGCACGACTGAATTAGCGTTACCACCACCAGCTGCAGCTGACAACCTATCACGCTGTTTCAACTAAAATGCAAATAGTGATAGACAACAAGGTTAGCTTTATTTTTAATTGGTTTTGACCACCCAAGTTTGATATTTCAAATAAAGTGACAGGAAATAAAATTTTTCCAAATCAAAAGAGCCGATTGAACTTACATCGCCTGGAGCGGCTCTCGAGGACTGTTTTTGCACAAATAGATCTAAAGTATCATCTGCATTATATCTAGACACAGCAGCTAACGAAACAGCTTGTTGATCCCATAAAATTTCACGTGATGGTACTTCAATTTCGATTAATCCTGACATATGCATAATAAATTTGATAAATCCAAAAAACTCGAGTTTACAGTGTTAATAAAAAGCTTATATTAGCATAAATTTCTTTAATAGAGGATAAATAAATGAGAGAAATCCTAACCCACTGGTTGAGTTCGACGAGGTGAAATATTACACAACAGTTCAATAGCTTTAGGATCTGAAACCCAGCCATACATGCGTCGAAATGCTTCTCGCCCTTTATCAGTGAGTTTATTCCAATGCCTTGGTTTTGATAATAATTCACTGAGTGAGCCTTGTGACTACAAAAAAAAAAAAAAGAAATTCGTACTCAATCATGAGTATAAAAATATTCATCGCAATTTATAAAAATCTTAATCCAAAAGCAACAAAAATTGACAATTGAATTTCAATTATACAAAAACTGAGTAATACGGTAAATATGGTTATTCTCGCACGGTTTTACAACCATGGCAACTAAGTACAATTCAACTAGAAATTAATTCAAGGAATTAAAATAAAAAACAAAAACCAGAGAATCAAATACCTTGACTACCTGGTTCATGACGTACTTCGCGAATAACCGCTGTCCAATATTGTGGGTGACCATTAAATGCTTGCACTGCTTTGCAATTTCCGTCGTATTCAAAGCTTTTGAACCTAATTCGTGGATATTTCTGGTAACGATGTCCTGTAAGGACTGCTTCTATTCGAAAAATAAATGATACTGGAATATCAATCGTCATTAATACATATCAAGTTTAGTTAATTCATTTAATCACCTACACAATTGGATAAGTTATTATACAGAATTTTTCCCTTTTCTCAGCAAATATTAAATTAACTATATTTATTCACTTAACTATATCTATTTACTTCACCTTTTTCTTGGTCAAAAATATATCACATCAACTAGTTCAAACCATTAAGCATTGATTCCACAAATGTGACCCAATATTTGTGTAGTGTATCGCAGTAATTTCAATACATAATTCATTAACTAGAATTTATACTTATCAGTTGTGATCTCCACTAACAATATCAAAAAATGTCGGCTGAAATTAAAGAGAAAGGAAAAACCAAACCTGCAGTTCATTATAAGTCCTGAGTTCAGCAGGTGTCCGAGGTAATTCGTGTAAACTGGACGTACTCGCTGAATAATAATTGTCTAGTTTCGGAACATCATTTGATGAACTGGCAGAGCACTGAAACAAATTTTATACTATTAACTCTAACAAGTGATTTTTCCTTTTCTTAACTTATTACTTCTAAACACTAGTATTTGATTGATTATGCTTTCACCACTGGATAAAGCAATATCTCCAAATGATTTATAATTACTATGAATGATACGGCTAATATTAAAAGTCGAGAAGTGGTATTTACCATAAATAAATTAAGGAGATTCGTGGCACGATGCGGATCACTTTCTAAATCCAAATCCCCATTGGTTTCCACTGATTTTTGCCCGCTCTAAAAAGAATGACCATGCTTCGAAATTTATTATTTTAAGTTAAGCTAGAGGCACACAAAGTATTTGTTTCCAGAATATGGGAGGATCTCTCTTAAGCAAATCTTTCAGAAGATCTGCCTTATCAGAATACGAATCCGAATATACTTTAACTATAAGAATTCAAAGCCATGCCTTATTTGAGAACAAATCGGCGAGTGTACTGCCATTGAAGTTGGCGTCAACTAAACCAAAAACATCTGACAACTCATTTCCATCCATCGGTTGTTCCTCTAAAACTTTGTGATTGTCACCTATAAAGATGAGGTGGTTTCTTGCACCCTATCATCCGAAAAAAAACACACACACACAACAAAGTTCAGGAAAAATTGGATATAGAATAAATGTGAGGCGATTGCGATTTAGTACTGAGAGGAAAAAGAGCAATTCAGAACACCAATCTTCAGCAACACTTTTTTTTGAAATATCAAATCTCGATTTTTAATAATCCCATAAAATTATATCTGGAATGATATGCATCGTTGGGATATCGCATCAAATGCTTCAACTATCCAAGATGTTGTTTTTACACGACCATGCAAATAAACTGCATTTCTTGGTCTTTTTTTCTGAGGGTTTCTATGGGTCGCAAAATTCTCTCATCGCTATTTTACGGAACACGCAGGATATGTAACATTAATGTTCATAAGATCACAATACATACATGCAGTAAAAAACTATTCTGATAAATAAATAAATAACAGATAGTGCAAAGAAACGCACAAAAACTTGAATCCAATTGAAATGGAGTGCCATGTAATTTTCAAATACTTGCCCCTAACTTTTCCAGTTTCCTCAACATTGCTATCTTTATTCTTCTATTTCAAAACCTCATTCTTGGATCTTCACTAGATCTTTGTTAACCAGTATATAGTTACTGCCTCTTGGAGTACTTCGTGACACCAGTATCAATCAACAACAGGTGAAGCCAAAATATGCGTCTACGTGTTACTTCCATTAATTTGATCTCTCACATTCCAGAACTAACGATCAGTGAACAAACCTTCAAGTTTTTGATCGCGCATTCGCAAATCCACATTTTCACTCTGCAGTTTGCGATTTTTTCCAACAAGCAATTCATCGAGTGCCTTCGAACGACCACCCAACTGCACTTCGGCTGTTGCTGTCGCAGTGGCAGTAACACCGTTGCTCACAAAACCTATTCCTTCAGCAATTTCTTCGAACTCAATGCTACGTAGAATCCTAAACAATAAAGTAATCTAACGAAATTTCCTTAATAATGTTTAGACTCCAAGTTATTCGAGTAGCTGAAATCTCTTCATAGAGCTTTGAACTGTGCATTATGTTCACTTTTCAGTTCTAACGTTCCCTTTTTAGAATGAACTGCTTTTCATCTTCAATCTCCAGATCTAACTTTCCGCAAACCTCAAATCTTTTTTATTATCTTCATAATCAGACTGAGCCTCCAGTTGGGCTCGCAGCTGCGCTATGATCTCCATATGGCGCTCCAGTTCTTGGGTCAATTCATCGATACGTTTGGTCGATTCTGTTTTTAAATGGATAAGCTTGGAGTTCAACTTCTTGTTTTCTTCCAACAACTTATGAATCTGCAAAATATCCTTTCGTAAGATGACCAAAAGAAAGTTGAATACTTCAGGCAAAAAAAGAGTTTCCAGATCGGATAACCTGACTGTCTTTCGAATGAATTAGAAAAGCGCCTCCATGTGCTCCTTCATTTGGACTTGAACTAACACAGCTTATACCTTGCAAACGTTGTACTTCTTTCTCCGCTTCTACCTGAAAAACCATCAGCAACTAATACCTATATAAAAGCAACAAACAGTTCTATAATTTAAAGAACTGAAAAAAATGCATTTTCTTCTCTAGTTGGATCTGATTTAATAAATGATACGATGGCTTCATCCAGTCATCAAAAAGCAAAAGATTGGCCCATATTATGTTTATGTCATACTAACAGCTCTCTGTAAGGCATTTTCGAGATCATTCGTAACAATTTCCAATTTTTCGTCATTTACAATATCGTCCTTTACTAACTGCAACTTCGTCTCCTCAGGCATCCGATTAATTTCTTTGTTCTTTATCTAGAATTGCTGGAACCCTTTTTACATCAGAAATTGAGCACTCATACAGAGGTAGTCATTGCATGCTACTAAAGGAAAGATGGTAGAATATTTTGTGACGATCATGATAACAACATCGATCACTTTCAATCGTTATGTAATACGAATTTTCAAAGTAGGAATCAAAATTGATGGTTGACGAAAATATACCGTTAGATCTGCAACTGAGAGCGTTTTATTTTCAGCAACGACTTGCTCCCGCTTTTCTGTAACTTCTTTTTCAAATGTTTCTAGTTCGACACGCAATTCCTTTTCTCTCTCGTTTATTGCAGCCTATAATATAATAAAGTTCTACACTACAGTTAAACTTATGAAATAGGGTGGGAAGACTAATCAGAGCTGAGCACAAATCAATAACAGAAAAGAAAGCACATGGAGTAGGACCAGTGAATCCGGAAGCGATACAATCCTCAATCCACCAAGCTATTACTATAAAGTACTGGTTCCCAACCCGCGAGAACTAAATGTTGTCCGGCGGCATGGAAAGCAGGGGTTGTCCTTCACTGTTTGGTAAACCAATGCATTAAAAGTTTCGATTAAAATATATTTTCAAATTATCAGAATCTATTATTTTTGAACCCTGTCCTTCCTACAAATAAAAAACCAAAGTGGTCTTTGGCCAAAAAAAGTTTGAAACCACTACCATAAGAGTCCAATATCCTCAATTAAACAAACCTGGACATTACTATTTGTTTTAGCTTCCATTTCTTTCATCCGTTCCTTGAGTTGGCGAATAGTTAGATCTGAAGATAAGACTTAATTTGAATTTAAAATTACTCCCCCAACTCAAGAAGGTCACGAAATGCTGTCAAATGCTCACACAAAATCCTTACTGGAAGTCAGTTCCCATGCTCAACCTGCCAAAGTTCCGTTAGAAAGAACTATTGGTCGTGTACAAGGGGGCGAATTTTCGCAAAAGCCGAATCACAAAGGGCGAATTTTGTTGGCGGAAATTAAAACGTTTTACATTTTTGTACCTGTTGTTTGACTATTTCAGCGAAAATGTTAAATACCAAGACTGCCCGTATTCAGCTTATTGCTATCGATAATACTGAAACGTTAACTTATGCCAAGTACAGTTCATCTGGTATGACTATTTTTGGCATGTGGCTTCCCATTCAGAATTAACCAATCTCCCGTTCAGAAGTAATTATTGCACCTTCTTCCTTGGGATCAGCTAAGCATTTATGCTGCATCAAATTTTCTCGGAACAAAAATAAGCCAACTTTATTTCTGAATGTTTCAAAATGTCTGAAAAGTATAATGCGATTTAGTAAGTACATACCCTGATTTCGCAAGTGACCATATTCTTTTTGTAACTCATTTAGCTGTTTAGTCAGATTCCTAACTCGCTCATCAATGGAACATAACCGTATGACTTTCCTTAGCAATGTTGAAACTTGTTCCAAATATGGAAAAGGATCTGCGAAAAATAAAAATATAATAGATACAGCAATAATTAGGTACGTGCAAAGAAAATGAAGAGAATGCGGAAAAATATAAGGCTCTATATTTTTCCAAAGTCTCACTATTATATACTTGATAAATTCAAAAAAAAAAAGAATCAAAAAATGAGACACAAAAGAAAAGGAGAAGAGACAAGGCGACAAACCACTAGTCTCATGACGACAATTAAGAGTTAATCAATACGCAACCTTGGATCACAGCTTGAATAGGGCTGCAGGACGATTGTAAGCAATAATAAGTGTGGTGATGAGCACACAAGCGCAAGCTTACATGTGTCGCAGGAATTCGATTGTCGATACGACGATTGCCAAGGACAGAACTCCTATCGACTAAGCGCTGCTCACTAACTGACTAGATGACTGGATGCAGAAAATCGAACCCAAAAATAAACGATTTTCAAGGATAATGAAAGAATGGAGCGACTGATGGTCGATTCAATACGATGCGAATGCAATGGACGCATGGATGGACGGAACGCTTCAAAAGCAAATAATCAATGCGATTGCGCGAGCTCCCGCAATGCTAAGATAGACAGCCTTGTAAAAGCAACTTACTGCTTACTAGAGCAATGATCAACGTTTGACTTAAACTTAGCTCAGCCAAGCCTACCTCTGCCAACTACCAGATGCTAGTATATATTGAGCAGTAATTCACGCGCTTCTCGAAAATTCATTTAATATCAAGCTCTGTTTCGTTCGCTCAAGTTTAAGCTGACTTTAATCATATTTGACGACAAAGTGTTCGAAACGTCACATAGCCTATCAATAAATGAATATAGACAGCAGTTGCAAAGCAGCTTTCCACAATATTCACACAATAATATCCTTCTATATTATACATCGGCGATAATGTAGTGATTAAGCTGATGCTCTAACAATCTCTGCATAGCGGTAGTCATGGATGGTCAGAAAGTCAGTACTGAACATCTCAAAAATGTTTAAGATACAAATGACTTTGAAGGCCGAATGACATGAATGGCTGTTGGAAGTTTGGATCTATTCAAAAAGCAACAAATTCCAACACAAGTGAGATGGATACAGATGGAAAAACGAGGAGGAAAAATTCAATCACTTATTTTGTTCTACTGATAAAAATTTTCTTACCATAAACAGAATGTCCGGCAAACAAAGATTAAATCAGCTTCTGCTGCTGTTGCTCTTTCTACAGCCCGATCGTACTCCTTTTGAAACGCTCTAATCAACGATGAAGCAGCTTTACGCGACTGCTAAAAACATTTTAGGTATAGAAAAAAACATAAGTATAGCCCTATATCGCCCCACCTAATCAGTAACCTCCAAAACATGTCTAGTAGTTAGAAATGAAGCAGTCGGTTTTCTGGTTTTTGTCTTTTATACTCGATTTATATCTTGTATGATATCACGCCTGGAAACATTCAAGTAATAATAGAGTGACATTTGTCGAACTTTTCGGAATTATGTTATGCAGATTTCCGACTTATACCTTTTTCACTACTTTAATGGTAGCATTACTGTAGTGGTAGCACTATTGTGGTAGTACGTTTGACTGATGCCATCAGTTACATACACTTACATACTCCATAGCGTATTGAAATGCGAAATCCAAATATTAATATATTTTAACCATGTCAATATTTTTAGACAAGCACGATATTTAGCGTGATATCAGCAATCTTACCGTGATATCAGCAATTCAATATCAAAACGTTTCGACTCATACGCATGATGAGTGATGCGTAAATTATTAACTGACAAACAAGTAAATATTGATAAAAAGAGTACTTAGGAGCGAGGAAAATGACACCAATCTTTCTGTCAGACCAATACTAGACAATCAGGTCTCAAGAGGGTTCGACTGTTAATGGTGGACTTGATGCTGATAATTAAGTTAAAACAAATTTGCAAGTGGACTCCATTGCAATGGAACTATAAGAAACTGATTACTTACTTTGTCAGCACATTCATAATATTTTTTGCTTCCAGTAATAAACTGTTGGCGAGCTACTCGACACTGATTCTCTCGAACACCAACTGCCTGTACTTCTTCGTTTAAATTCTTTTGCAAAGGTTACTAAAAAAAGAAAAGTTTATAAAAAGAGGGATAAGGGATCGATCAACGTTGTCCCCACGAGAAGGTGAGGATTCTAGACGAACCTGAATCGAGTCAAAGAGAGAAAGAGCAATAATCAAAAACTGTGTGTTTTTTTTTTTTGATTTGCCTCGAAAAAGATATACAGTAGTATCCAAAGTGACAAGATTTAACTTCATCATCAAATACAAAATTGAAATAAACACTAGATGACATAATGATAAACGGTAATATTTATGAATACAGTGTTCTGGGAAATTGAATCGAAACCTTTGACAATTAGATTATCTTCCGCCCTGCATATTAATAAATTCAAACTATTTTATAAGGTTTTGGATTACTTTATGGACAGATATATGGCCGATAACGAAAAGTAGCAATTACAACAAGCCGAAATGAATGATATGCAGGATTCAACTATGAAAGCAGTTCCATTTAATAGTTCAAAAGACTAAAAAGCGGAAAGAGAATGAAAAAGAGAGATCAGTAACTGGAGTATACGGCAAAATAAGCCAGTTGTCTGAGTCGTGTGCAGCTGAGATGAATTTACTTAGTCAGTTTGTTAACAACCATTTCAGTAAGTATGGTTTTGGAGCCTCATCGAAAATCGATCCGCCAGATGGGCTCGCCTTTCCCGGCAACAACAGTATGATTTGATTCTACGACAAAATAACATTCCTTCTCACCACCATTCCATTCAGACTTCACATTTCAAACTCCGTGTTGACCACTGACTGAACTGAATCTTTTCCAGCACACACATAAACAGACACACACACATACACACATCCACGGACACAGAGATAACGTACAGCAGTAAACAAATCAATTTACTGATATTGATTTATCTGACATGAGCTCAATAATTTACGCCTACTGATAGGCAATACTCCGGAGACTGCTTCAATACGGGAACAGCTCATGCTTGTCCGATAATGCATGCATGTGCTTTGAATGAAGTTTTTACCAAACATATGTTTTACTGAATAGAAAGAATAGAATGATCCTCAAGATGTGTACCGTTTTCGGTACTGCCGAGACAATGAATGAAGGATGAGGAAGTATCTTTATCCCTCAAATTTGATGAGTCGAATTTCTACAACAAGCCAACTCATAAATTATTCGAAAAATGGACATATGCAATTATGTTTTCACAATATGGCAGAAAGTTTGCGAATACTTACAAGCACATAAAGTTTTGGAAATGATTTCTTTCCCCCCTTTGTGATTTTGAGGATTATTCAACTAGCTGCACTTTGTTTGTTGACCTTTCCCTTTTTATGCAATTCCAAATCGGTTAGTCATCATTTCACATTCCTCGATTGCAAATTTTTAACCCCTGTGCACCTTTTGATACCCACTCGAGTTACAACGGATTTAATGAATATCAAGCATAAGTGGAGTCGAAATCAAAAATTGTGGAAGGACGGCACAGAGTGCTGAAAAGCCTCTCTTTAACACCTTGCCACTTATTTGGTCTATCCACTAAGACTGAACGAGATATATTACAGAGATTAACTAAATTGAAAAAATGAAAAGCTGAGATGTTGTTATTTCAACTTGATCAGCTGCAAAAGCTCCGCTTAAGCAGCACTGTACCTGCAAGTATTCGAAATCGATCTGTGACCATTTTCTTGCCACATTTTCCATTTCTTGCACCTTCTGTGGATCTATTGCTATATCACTTTCTAAAGAATCAATTAGCTTTACCCATTATCTAATATACTGTTTTCTTTAAAAAAATGGTAATAAGAAATTCGAGGGATTGAAAGCGCAATAATGAGAAATGTTTTGCATATCGGATTTCTATAATTTTCCAAACTAAGTATCTCTTAAAGTTTGGTAAAACAAGAAATTTGCTTGGAATGGTAAGCAGATTAGAAGAATGGCCAGAGAAAGTTATTTCTTCCGTAAAGTTTTTACCGCACTCATACAAAAAGCCGTTCTATTATGCAATTTCTGGTGCGTTATAACTAATTCCAATAGTTCCAGTTTACACCGATCATTTCATCAACAGTTCAAAGGACATGACCTTCACAAACTAAAACTTGAAGAACCAGTAAATTTAGTGTTGATGGACTACTCAAATCACCCGGCAGTCACCTCATCATTTTAAATTATTGAAAGTTCTACGCCCCCTAAATTTCTTCACATCAGCATGAATATTACTGATGTAACTTCATTGGCACCTCCATCTACCCTCCATTTATTGATACAAGAAACCGAAACAAATCAGAGAAAACCTAGGAAAAAAAATTAGCCGACTGGATCCCCGATTAATATTTCGTTATTGGAATAGAAAAATCTACAGCAGCACACAAAGGTACCAACAACACGTTGCCGGAAACCATTGTGGCATCAGAGGCATGTCAACGACTACTCGCGAAACTTCCTTGATCAATCGATCAATATGTGCAGCAGTGCTCTGCACCACAGATCGATCTACTTCACCACTATATGCAATGCACTGCGTTCAGTAAAAAGGTTCATTATCGTGCATTTGTGATATTCTGTATTTTGAGAACAGATTCAATAACAAAAAATAGTATCCAAAAATTAGTAGGAAAATTTGCATATATTCTAGGGTATAGGAAAATCTTTTTTCTTTGAATAATTTATGTAGCCAACAAGTAAGGAAAATCATTTTTTATTGTGTACAATTCGTAGCTGACGTAAAATGAATGTTATCCATATCTGCCACATTTTAAAATAATAATTGTGAAATGTTTAAAACATACGAAAGGCGGAAGAGAATAGAACTTTATCAGGGAATATTACCTATAAACCAATTCTGATTTACATAAATGAAATATACAGAAAGTACGCAACTATGAACACTTCATATATCGAAGAAACTGTAGCGCTGTTGTTCATAAGCACGACTATCTTCACGTAAATGATAATCATCTGGTAATTCTGTCAATACTTTCGCAGCTTCAGCTTTATAATCTCGTATGTAATGTACTGAATTAAAAAATGAAAAATAAATTATGAAAGAAACTATGGTGTGGAATAAGTAACAAAATGTAAATTCAATCATGACGACCGAAAGCCAGAAAAATACTAAATTTTAATTAACGAAGGAAAGACTAAACTAGTTAATTATTTATTCTTTACTTCTAAGATTACTTTGGCGTCCGCAAATCCATTTCAACAACTTTTAGTAAAATATCTGCTCATACGATTCCAACACATTATGCGTTACTGCAGCAATTTGCAATTTTTTGCTCAAGAATAGTACTTAAACTAAAGGAAATGTTATATTAAAATCAGATAAATACTTGAAGAACTTACTAACGTGAGTCTAAATATAAATGAGACAAATGAACTAAAATACTGTTGTAATTACCATGTTTTGGAAAGTGTGCATTGTGCACATGTAATTTGCTGAAATATCCTACTCTCGGTCGAGTAATGTTTAAGTTTTCTTCCACGCAAATATCCAAACGACGTTGTTGCTCACGACAACTGTAACTGCTATTACTATTAGTACCATTTTCGTGTAATTTAGTTAATAAGGTTCTCCTAAGAAGTTATAGGGAATTCCAAAAACAATATGGAACACAGCTGTTGTAATCATTTCAAAATGTTCTTAACACTCAAAATTCAAATCTGAAGCATGGTTCTTTCCTTTTTTTTTAAACAGTTTTGTAACTTCCAATCTTAGAAATCAGTGAGAAGAAACAAACGGTGTAATGTAGAGTTTGGAAGTACGGTGATCAATACAATCAGCATAATGATTAACGTTGTCACTGCAAGCCTTTTTCAGTGATTGTAAGAATTTAATACCACATGCGGTAAGAGCTTGACCTTCTCTCAGCGAAAGACGTGGATCTTCCGTTTCTTGTCGACGCAACATAAAATCCTGTAAACACACCACACTATTTTCAAATACAGACAATCAAAATGGAAAGTAATAATCATTTCATAGGCAACCAAAGGTAATTCGTCTTATCTTCAATTAAAAAGTAAAATTTCCTCTAGAGTCATAAAATGAATCGAAGTCAATTTAGTTCAACTGATAAAAGTTGAAAAAACGAACTTTAACTTCTTTTTCACACGCTTTATGCATATATGGTATAACAGCTTTAAAATAAGGCGTTGAAAGAGTGATTTCATGAGGTACTGTAAGCTCTTCGTCAGAGGGCATCGGTGTACTTTTGGTTAACATCCCCCTAAAATGAGATTACTGATATACTAATTATATAAACTGTACAAAGACAAAAATGTTTTCTTGTCCCTTCATTAGTAACAAATATCTAATTTGTTATATCCTAAATAAAAAATTGCTAAGGTAGTTGAAATTGATGAATGATCACTGAAAAGTGGCGATGGACAGATAATGATATATGGGAGATCCGTCTTACAGTCATTGGCAAAGACGGCGAAGATTCCCGCACAATTGATCCAACTATTCCCTCATCTTCCTTCCCTCCCATAAACAAGTGAAGAAGAAATACGAGCGAATTAGATAATCCATTTTTCCAAGCTTTAAATTACCCTGTCCAACTATCAGAGCAGAGGACAACGGTTACAATAAGCTCATGCTCATTCTTCCAAAATAAACAACACAACTGAAAAGTTGTAAACGCGTGGATTATTCACCGTAAAATCCACCAGTACTTCCACTCCGTCCGCACCCAGCTACCGACAGAACACTCCACTTTCCCGATATTTCATGCAATGGCATAATGAAAACCTCGGTCTCACCAAGAAGTACGAAAATAAAGGAGAAATAAGATTGGCATGAAAAGTCAAAACTGCGGACGAGTTGGAGTAATATAGTCTCCGCAAATAATACTATTTACGGCTGACAATATCTGATAGTCTGCTTATTACCGACTTGATTAATTAACTATTAAATGGAATAGTCTGAAGGGTGAAATTGCGGCGCAGACTGTGCTGGTACTGTAGAGCCTCCTTTCTATTGAAAAACTATGTAAACGACTGCACCATCCTGATGAAACATTATCAAAAGCTGATAAAACACTCGAAATCTTTAAAAACTTAATTTCTATGCAGATTTGAGCTTGACTTAATTTAAAAGCCATGAATGCTAGAAATTATAAATTGTTTTCTATTCAAGGTGCCCGCAAAGGGTCGAAAGCTAGGTCGTTTTTCACAAAGGTGTGTAATCACAATTGATTTCCTAGAAAATAATTTTGAATGGAATCGAGAAATCGGAAATTTTCCCTTGTGCTGATTGAAATACATGAAAATAATTTTCAATCTCAAGAGATATTTCTTAAAAATAAACTTTACATTGAAGTATTCAAATATTTCTGGATAGATTTGAAATTTTTAAATTAAATAAAGCCTTCGAAAATACAATTGCATGCTATAACTGTTACAGATGAAAACATTTCAAAATTTGCGGAATGCACGGACCACGCCGTTATCACGGTCACAAGCACAATCATCGAGCAATAAGCCATCGAACAGTGAAGATCGAGCCGTCAACAGCAGCAGTGTGAAGCAAGGACAGCAGTCACGTTTCAGCAGATTTTTACCGTCGTCGCAGTTCAAAACAGCTGTTGAAAAATCTAGTCGCCGACCGAGAACCATTTCAGGCGAAAAGCATCTCGTTAATCCAAAGGTCAAAAAGTCGACAATGCCGTCAAAGGCTTGGTATTTCTATCTCTGGAGTCCTTTTGGAGTTACTTCTATCTTTTCATTCCTTCGGTCACAAAATTCCTATATAATTTACGTAAAAAGTTTAAAATTATGACTGAAGCAAATTCATCCGTATTTAACCTGAAAGTAGAAAGTTTCGGTTTGGAAACAAGGCGTGGAAAAGGTATATTCTCGCCAAAAGCTCAAATTTCGCGAATACAAAACAACCTTGGATTTCCATGTGAACTACCAGATGACCTCGTTGCGGAGGTTGACATACAAGCAAAATTCGATCAAAAGGACAAAAAAGTGAGCGAAATTTATGTTTGCAATTCGCTCTTCATCTATTCTCCTTTTGTGTTCTCATATCCGTTTTCCCTTCAAATTTTGAAAATCAATCAATAATTGTGTCATATTTTAAAAATTTTGGAATTGATCTGGATAAACAGATTAACCTTCAAGCTTAAAACTACGGTAACGTCCTAATGATGCAATTTACCAGTTTCTGAAGTACTCTTTTGTGGGTGATCTAGTCTTTCAGGTAGGCCTTACTATAACCAAGTCGCTGCTCATTCTTAGAGTGGAGGAATATTCAATATTTTATGGAAAATTGAAAATATGCGATTTCTTAACATATCTTCAAGATGAACCAATTGCCAGCAAAAAAGAATTCTACGATAGGTTGAAACCATTGCGAGATGTTGGCAAAGAGGTTGTGAATCATCTCAAATTCTTCATTCCTCATTTATTTTCAGGTTAAACAATGAAGCTTATTTCCAATTTTAGTTTCATTTGCGGTTACGAAGGCCATTATGGAATACGCCAGCCACTAGATTACCAAAAGGTTACGATCGCGCACCGGGATATAGTTATATTCGCGGTCTGATGATCCTTTATCCTGGCGGTAATCTGGGAATGAACGTCAAATCTTATAACAACAAAGTTCGTTTTTTTCATTATTAATATCGGTTTAAGCACATGTTGTTAAATCACTTCATGAATTTTTCAAATTCTCCGAATAAATAGAAGAGATACTTTCAAAATTTGCGGTAAACCTTTAGAAAGGTTTTTATAAATTTAAATATTTGACCTGCTCTTGAAAACTACGCAATCTTTGGAGCATAAAATGTCATTGTTAAACTTCCAGAAGTTCAACAATCAGTTCAACAGTGATGCTATTCCTTTATCTAAGATTCGGTGCTTCATTTCAGGTATACGTAACGAGTACAGATCAGATGAGTATAGCATCAGCCGCTTGCTTGATGGGTGACTGTATTGTAGACGTAGATGGTACACCGGTTACGTCAACTGTATCATGCGGTGAACAAGTCATTTCAGGACTTAAAAATCGTAAATTTGTACGTTGCATGCATTTAGGCAATTAATTGTTCAGCTATGAATATCAAAATTCAAATTTCTCAATTAAAAATTTTGACAGGTGCTAATGACAATTGAAAGAGCGGTGGATGTGCAAGCTATACGTGTAGTGAAATTTGTGCTACTTGTTGAGAAAATTCCTGAAAAGGATCCCAGGTATTAAATGTTCTGAGACTGCTACTTCATTTAGGAAATCACTAATTTTAAAATATTAATTACTGGCATTTTTTCTAAATTTTTGAGATTTATAAAAATAGGATGGCACACGACACCACTAAGATCGGTGTGGATGAAGCAGAAAAAATTCGGCGACATACTCTCCCAGCAGCTTTGAAAGGCATTTATCGCGGGAAGCATGGATGTGACCAAAAGTATTTTTTTTCCGTTTATTAGTCTTCATTTTTTTCATGGCAATTCTGATCGATCTTTATGTTCAATTTTTATATTATCGCAGCAGTACTTACAATTGTAACTAACTGCAGCCATCCACTTGTTTTTATTATCACGTGAAATATGTCAAAATCTTTCTGATATCCCAGTCTTCAGACATTTGGTGATCCATGAGATGTCAATGTTCACGCCGATTGGTGCCGATCCTTTCAATCCATTGCTGATGCAGGCGGTACCACCAAAGAAGATGGACGCCATGCATGCCAGTAAATCGAGTCAAGTGAATATTCCGACACCTTTACAGCGATCGAAGGAGTAACCGTTGTCTTATAAAGTGACGTGATCCATCCATGACTTTTTTATAGTCTGTCATTTTAATACGTCTTACTCATTGTAATTTATTTTCTGGGCGTGTAAGTGTATTTAGAATTAAAAAATCAGAAATTCAATAGTATAGGCTGCATATGCGTTTGCTCAAAATCTTGTCTGAAACTACGGTTAAGAATTATATGAAGTATTGATGTTTGCTGAAAGCAAATTAGTCTATTAATGTTTCCTTACCAACCATAATGTCGGAAACTTGATTTTATACCTTCCTGGAACATGCACTGTGGAGTTTGGAACAAAAAAAACCTGGCATTTCAATTCATGCAATAATCAATACAAATAATTCTTGCACACTTTCGCCAATTTCTTTGAGTACCTCAATTTCCATTTGTACTGGAAACTGCAAAATTCGAATTACAAACTATTACAAGCTGTAGACTTAAATTACGACAACCAGAATCGGTAGAATAGGAAGCAAATCACTCAGAAATCGCTAGGACAGCAAACTGCTAAGATAGCAATTGAAAAGATCCTTAAATAGATGGGATATATTTTACTTTTCAAGGTAGTATGTTTTCACCGATAACCGGCAAATTCATATGTGAACAAGCCGCTTGCTCTCGTTATTTCCTCGGAAAGCAATTCATTACAACCAAAAAAAAAAACACATATCACGCTGGAGGAAGCTTGACAGTAATTGCAGTAAAGCCTAGACAGAATTTCGATTTTATGTTCTTCAGCTCTCCCAAACTTCAAAATCCGGACCAAAATCCAAATAAAAGTATGACGACCAAGCTTTCAGAATGATATGTTTGTACCATCCACATCTAATCATAAAAGTGGGTTGGATCCTGTAGAAAATAATCAGGTGATGTATGCACCACATATGTATATATGACTTGAAGCTGTTGATGAGATTATATCTTTCGAATTGATTCTTTGCAGCAAGTGGGAATTTAACATTTCAAGAAGGTTTAATACACAACACTTGATTCAGGCTGATTACTTCAGGAGAAACGGAAATTCCACTCCCTTCTCGAATCAGACGAAAAGCTACGAACGGTATACACAGGAGACCAGCGTTCAGTAGCAGAATGATACGACAACCTCAACGAAATTTTACCATTCCCGTGCTAATCAAACTTATGATAACTGAATTTCACTGTTTCCGCCCTAAAGTTGTTTTACACTATAATTCCCAACAAAAACCACCACATTAACACTTTGCATATTAGTCAGAAATCCAAATTCAAATTGTAAGCGAATCATTGATATTTATGTACACTGTGCTAATCAGTGAAATGAAATTTTAACGAAAAAGTTTCAGTACTACACCGTGTGTAAATGGTGCGATTTAACCTTTCTTCATAAAATGGATTAAATTATGCAAAAACCTAAGTAATGTAAAAACGTATGTACGTGTACGTTCATACATTTGTATCATTACTTCAGTTTGTTCATACGTTTTCCATACGTTTTTGTTCATACGTGTATCCGCGAAAAGTAAACTTGTCAGCTTATATTTTAGTGCAGTATTTCTTTTTTTGCTTTTTAAAGTGAAAGGTCTTAGCACTATTTTTATAGACATCTATCGTTAGAAAAAATAAATAAAAAATAATGCTGCTGACCCGAAATTAGAAAAAAGTGAGTTTTGTGATGATGGCAAAAAGTCGGTGGAAGTAGAAGAAAAACGAAGAGAGGAAATAATGTTTCTCAAATAGTCCTTAAAAGAATCCACTACTAATTATAGCCCTAAAAGCCCATACGAAAGGTATTTTTTTTTTTTAAAGTCAGCACTGGATGGAGTACGCAAGCACATAATCTACTGAATCTACATAATCTACTTCACATTTCGGTACACTGTCTACATATCCATTCAGAATATCCGAAATAGAGGAATACATTTCTGGTACGTATCAAAGGTCCCACCATTATTATTTTCGTCTAATAATAAATATAATGAGAAAACAAATTTTCAGCTGTAATATAGTTTTCTTTAAGTCACGCTCCTTGCAAAATATGTTAATAGCATATTTTCCGAGATTTGTCGAGAAGTACCCCTCAAATTTGATTATCATCGGCAATGGTTGATGTATAAACTAAACTCCGCGAGTTGACCACGAAATATCGTACCAAACCCATATATTTATTTTTCATTTTAAATAACCAGCAAGGCTTACTGACTTCTAGAACACTATAAAGCGTAAAGTGGTCGAAAACGGATAGCAATTATATTTTACAATATCCTACCCAATACCATAATAAACAAACCTAATACCTAAAATCTAGCAATACTTCTAACATTATTCAATCCTTAAAAAGTCAGCTAATTTTAATGGAACTGAAAGATTTTAGCATGCCTATTAGCGGTCGAGAAGTAACTAGGAAATTCGAAATTCTTGGAACCACTTGCAATAACATAACAAATAAAGAATACAATTTCTAGCTTTCAGAACTGAGATGTGCATTTGCAACCGAAGTGGAAAATCAATGCATCCATTCATTATAATTAACACATGAGAACTATTTACAGTGAAAAAGTTAATTTGCTTTAAAATTAATTGTACAAATAAAACATATCTTCCCGGGTACTATCTATTTTACAACTGATGAGAAATCTGACCATACACTTTGGTCAAGTTCAGAACCGCTAATTTCGCAATCTGTCGTAACATCTGGTGAGTCATTTGTTGACAACGGGCTTCCGAAGGCGGACGGTGGCAGCGGGTAATAGTCTCCTAACTAAAACAGTCTCGGCAATAATCATTTGTGCAGGCTTTAAAATATTCCACTCAGCTTTAGACTTTATTTTCTATTACGATATAAGTAGCGTTAAAATCCACCTACGTTTGCATCCGCTTTAACTACTTCAACAGCATTTGAATCAGTCTTATCCACTTGACTAATGTGGATGTCACTTGGAACTTTCCCCGTTACCTCCGAATCCGCAGCACGTTCATCACCAAATTTCCTGGTAGTACGCTGAAATATAAAATGGAAGGAACAAAATGCAAATTCTGATCGGAAAACCAAAGTTTTAAATCTGCTACACCAAATTTTGAAACGACTTTTTAGAAATTTCAAAACATACCAACATTCCACTTTCAAAGTTTGCTTTATCAAACAATGCGTTTGTCACACTGTCAGTTGTAGTAAGCCACTGAAGTTTTGAAACCGCAGCTTGGTTAAAATCATCCGATGATGGCTCGCCAAAGTCAGAAGTGTTTGGATTATAAGCTGTAATGTTCCAAATGCTAAAAACTCTCACCTCATCTTCATATAGCTTTTTTGAAGATTCCTCATATTCCAAACTTTCTGACGAGTACGAATTAGTTTATTTTGCAAGAAAAGCTATGGCACTTAAAATTAGGACTAACCATCTCGTAAATATGCATGTTTTGCAGGGTGAGTAATTAATGCTGCACGACTGCGAATCATTTCATAACGTTGTTTTTCCTTAAATTATACAGCAAGTACAAAAACATATTGACATCAAAATATTTTTCGTTTTTTGTAGAGAAAGAGCAGAGCAGTTTTCTATTGTCAAAAGTATAAATTTTATTGACCTTTTAAGAAAGTGAAGTTGCAATTTTTTTTTTCACTGCTTTAATATTGAGGAGGAAAGCTAATCTAATCAAAGAATTGTGTTAATTTATTATAAACAAATTCCGTTACATAATGTTCAAATCAGATAAAAAAATTACTAGATACTGTTCAAATCAGATAAAAAAATCATGACCTGTTTTTCCTCGGCAATTAGTTTCTCCAAATATTCCTGAAGGTCATTAATTTCAGTTTCATACTGTATTATTTCTGCGTTACTGTTTTCACGAAAAGCATTGGTTTCCATTTCTAATCGGTTGCACTGAATTGATTTGTATGAATTATCTTTAAATTTAGGTCAACATTTTGCAAAAGTTTTGTAGTTGAGCGAAACCACAGCTAAAAAAAAACGGACAAACCATTTCAAAACACTACTGAACTACATGAAAACAAAACAAAAGGAACAAAGAAAGAAGACTAAGTCCCGAAACATCAAGGTAAAATATTGTCCTAAACAAACTTATGGAAAATGCTAAACAAGTAATGAGAACTCAGACAGACTGCTTCTACACTATTAATTTGAAATTTCATTAGGAATAATGCCGCAAGCCCTGGAAAGTATTCAATATGCTATGAAATATGCATATTTTTTGACGTCTAAAATACTTGCACGTTTCCTCATTACAAGGATATTGCATACATCAAAATAAAGAGCTTCAACAACCACGTTCCAGTAAGGTAACAACAGAAAATTGTTACTTTTAACTTTCAGCACTGATAAAAAATATTACTTCGATATCAACCTCCATCTTCTTGTTGCGAAGAGCAGCAGATGTCCTTCTTTCTACAGTTATCATTTCATCCAAATGTCTCCCTGTAGCAATAGCATCTTCAATTTCCTTCGACCAATCGTGTTGTTTATCATCGAGAAACATCATTAAGGAAGCATGTTCATTTTCCCCACAATTCAATTCTGTTTGTACTCGTTTTACTTCGTCTTGCAAAGCGCTCACTTCTTGATTCATCTTTGTCTGTAACATACGATTCATTCATAGTGAAAGAGAATTCATCTTTTGTTTTCCGTGTATTTTGTAAGGACCAATGAGTCGAAGTGAACGAGAACTATAAAAATGCTTCTTAACAAACCTGTAAGTTTTCACGAATACTTTTATATTCCAACAAGATTATTTCAGGATCATCTCTCTCAAGTGCTGTCAAATTCTCCAACTCTGTCTTCAAGATTATAATCTATAAAATGACTTGAAAAAGTAAGCATTCATAAAAACCATATACTTGAAATTTCATAGACAGTTTAAACATTGATGTTAAGAATATAGCAGCAGTAGTGAAGTTTAGAGGAACAAAGCCTAATTAATGCACTTACTTTCTCATCAAGTATCCGCTCTTTATCCATAACTTTATCATTTTCCTTATCTAATTTCGATAATTCAACCACAGCTTCACTACATTCTTGAGAACAAACATGCAGTTGTTGTTGCAGCTCTTTCTCCTCTATCATAACTTCATCCAAATTCTCCTTCAAAATAATCAAATGAAAAAATATATAGACGTCATTCATAACTTGTTGAAATACTTTGTCACCAGATTTTATTTTTCCAATTTTTCATTCAAAGTTAAAGAATATTAACGATTTCCGCCGACAGTATGTTCTCCAACTCCGCTTCCGCCTCATCAGATTGCTGCTGAAGTTTCTGATTTGTAGAATTCTTCATTTCTAAAAAAATGGCATCATTATTTGAAGTTAGACCTTATTTGAACCAAGGTATTTAAACAGCACAGACAGCTTTTATATTTTAAAAGTGGCTTTGTTGAATTTTTTTCCACTATTATGAATAAAAAAAACTCTCCAAAGAAAGGTGGCTCTACAATGAAATATAAAATAAGGCTTAACACGTTAAATCATACAACTGCCTTGGTAATCTGTTCACTTCAGTCGAAGCAGCTAACTGAAGCTACAACCTTGAGCTTTCTTAAAATTTTATTCAAAAATTTTCCAAAATTAAAACTTCAAAATTCCATTTTAAAAAATTTCTAAAATTCTTAAAATTCTAGTTTAATTTCAATTACCAAGATTTGACTTCAGCAATGTAACACGATTTAGCAGTTCCTCATGTTCCATTCTCAATATCTGCTCTCTATCATCCCGCATCTTCCGCAGCCTTTCAGCCCGTTCTTCCAGACTTTTATGACGTAATAGATGATTTAAGCCGTTTTGTAGTTCAACTAAAGCATTATCGATTCCCGCGCTTTGTCCTACTGGAAAAACCAGTTCTTATCCAATTTGAAGAGCACGGATCGAAATCAAATAAAACGTCTTTATTACGTCTTTTCAGTTCATAGAAATTTATGCTTTCCTTAACTGAATCTCTGATTTCATTTTACACTTCGCTTTAAGTACTTCTTCTTTTGTGAACCGCCATGAACATAATATACCATGGTATAAGAGACCAAAAGAACGAGCACAATAAAGTATAATGTACCAAAATACAGAGAAATATAGAATGCTGCTTTGTATTTCAATTCTTATTTGGCACTGGTTGACATTTAAGGCTTTGTTATCGTTGGCAAAAATCTAAAAATTATTACCAAAAAGCACAAACATTTGGAACATACACTTTTCCTGCATAGTTTCCCAATTTTTTTCAGAACGAATCTTAAGAGCCTCGAAGCGAGCCGTGAAAGTCTCAACACTGAAGTTATTGACCTTGTTCGTCACCTGTACCGTATCCATGGCTTAAAAAGTTCTGTATATATCCCTTAATTTATACTGCAAAATAAATCAATGAAAATGAATGGTATTTACTTTATTTTTTTGCATTTTTCGATTGCACAGACACCAAACGACAGCAAATATGAGAAAAATATCAAACTTGTTTTGATAAGCTCTGAAGCTGCCTGGAAACGCATTTCGATTAACCGCAGGCCTCTGGCGTTGCAATGAAGTCTGAAATAGGTTTCCTTGCTATTCCTGTTTAGTCCATATAAGGAAAAAGACTATGAAATGTGATACAATTTGTCAAAAAACGCTTGATATCATATATCATATGACCATATAGTTTTTAGCCCTTAAAAGAAGTTGGTTAATTCGAGATCAAAAACCAAACTGTTTAGAAATCTCTTTGCATGCTCTACGTGATTGCTTCAAATTTTCTTCATCATTGATATTTTGCGCAAGGATTGCCTTTGATTGTTCCCACATATTTCCTTCCTCTTCCGTAAAAGCTGCTTTCTAAAACAGCTCAATTGATCTCGTTTGTGTAGAATTTGATATATAGACAAAGTTTGGAATTCCGAATAATTTCTTTGGTTACAATGAGTATGCAAACCTCTTCCAGCAGTTTCTTGCGTTTCTTGAACAATTCTGCTGTAAGATGCATAGGATATAGCATTTCGTTCCGATTCAATTGAGCAGAGAGTCCGCTGACAGTCGTATCCATGGCTAAATGTTAATATTTGCTTTGTAGGTATCCAATCATCATCTGATAATTTCACCTCGAAAGCACAACTCTGTCTGAGGTAAACATACAACAGCAATGAATAACATTCGAAGATGCTGATTAAACTTATTTGGTGAGAAATCCCACCCGGAAATCAGACAACAAATTTCTTGCATCAAACTCATCTTGAAATCCCAGTGTAACTGTTCAAATTCAGAGAGAGAAGCTTCTAGAAGGAGTCATTCGTTCTCCCAACGTTAAAAGTGTGAGATGGTATTCACAAATAAATCGAACAGCAAATAAATTACAAGGAATTTCCTTAAATTTGAACTTACGTCAACAACGCTACGTGAGAAACTGAAAAAAAGCAATTTCAAATGACTAAACAAGAATTTTGCACGAATTTCTCACAACATCCTAATCACCGCTAATCTCGTCATTTGCACGTAGACTCGGCTTGAAATTCATATCTACACGTAGGCACTCATTGCTATCATTGCTGCCACCCAGAAAGCTTTCTTTTTTTGGGCGATTATCTTGCTGGTAAGAATCACGCACAAGTGTTGCTTTTGCATTTTGCATGCATAACTTGCCAGTTTAATATGATTTGAGCATATGTGGCTTATCTGTATATGCATGACATCTGAAATTGCACATTTAGATGGTGCAATCTGAATTTATGTGGTTCATCTGCATGTAATGCTCATTGATTATCCTTGTATAATGTATAATATTATACAAGGAAGAGAGACTGTTAGAAGTTAAGCGAGCTGTGTAGTCTATTCTGGCTTGAGGAGTCATAAAGGTCAAAGGGGCTACTTCTCGATCCCTACCACAGTTCTTGTGGCCATTTGCGCTTTCTCAGTACTTCCCGACAGCTCCTCTACTCTGTTCTTTCTAATTATTCTTTTCTTCGACAGTTTACTTTTTCTGTGACAGTATGCATTATCGGCGCGATTTCTAGTAGTTCATGTAGTGGTTGGGATCGAAGCTAAGAATGATGCTGAAAAATCTCGAAGTATTCGCAACTCTCCTCTTACTGAAATCCTTTCAGAAGCTAATAAAAGTTATCGTAAATTTCCCATTGTAACGGTACTTTCGAGAAATAACCATAATTTCAGCTGCAAGCCAAAATAACAAAGGCTGGAATTGTAATTGGTGTGTCAGTGAAGAAATGCAGCAAACAACAACGATTCCATCACTTCAGTACGATTTCCAGCCTTCACCAGACATTTATTCGCAATACGGTATGGGTTTGTTGTCCTCTAGTATGTCATATTCCTTATTTTGCTATCCTCACTCTTCTGTTCCTTATAAATTTCCAAAGTCTAAATCCACTTTAGCTATTCCTAAATGCAGGAAAAATAAAGCTTCAAAATATATACTCCCTACCTGGTTTTTATGACCTTCCAAGATCCACAAAGAATTACATCATGATTTGTCTGTCAGCCTGTCTTGATATAATCTACTGGACATAATCATATGAAGAGAAACAAGATTTCCTATTCATATTTTTTATTGATTATTTTAGAGCGGATGGGTACAGATGCTGCTACAGACCAGCTATGCCAGAGCATATCATCTATCACGGTTATTTGTTCTGTGTATTTATGATTATTCGTAATCAGAATAATAATTGAAGATGCCTCCCTTATAAGGCACATGCTGTTCGTATTTTCTGAAGTTACCTTACTGCAGGTCAATGATAAGGAAAATGGGATGAACGAGACGCATTGGTGTTCCCCATGTAGCCAGTACACTGATAGTTCTGGTTACACCTACTTAAATCCAGCGGAACACCAACTGGTAAGTGCAAGATACTTAATGAACAGTGACCAATGAATAACAACCATGATTTTTCTGTCACAGAGTTCAAGTATAAATGATATGCATCGTTATTACAAGAACTCTTACATAATGCAGTACTTTTTTTGAGACTGTACGACTGCATGCTGTACAAACTCTACAGCTCGGTGGTTAACAGATGTCTTCTTGGTTCGATAGATATTTCTAGAGCGTGTTTCTCTCATTCTCCAACGTTGCTTTGTTTTATCACCTTTACAGGACGGTACTCTAATCAGAATACCTAAAAGCATGGGAACTGCAAGTGAAGAATAATTTGCAGACTATGACTGTGGACTTTTTGAAGCTGTTTTTATCGTTGTATCCACTCAGTTTTTATCGTTTAGTAGCTCTGGTGGATAGTTTAAACTCCATGAATCCTTATAATTTAATTGCCAAGGCCGCACCGACCAAATTGTAAAATATCATAAATTTCATGTCAATTATAGATTATAAAAATGAAAGTTTCCATTTCTTTTTTTTTGCCTTAGATTGTGTATTAAGAAAAGGAGTTTTTTCGAGAGAGGATGATAGGGACGATTTTATATCCTTTTTTTAGATGGCTTGTGATAGCTGTGTACAACAATGCGAAGTGTCACGTATCAACAGCTTGAGAAATGGTGAATGTTGGGATAGCTACGAATGGTTTGTTTCATACTTTCTGGCATTAATGTCTTTCACTTATTGTATGTTAAAAATTTACGGCTCAGTTTAATTGTTAATATCTTTAGCTACGGCGTAAACAACAATATTGAATTAATGCAGCCGACATTGTTCTACCTATTAACATCGGGTTGCATTGCAAATTTTGGCAAGGACGAAAAAGGCAGCCGGTGAGATCTGAAGGAAGCATTTGATCTTGATATTAAATCTTCATTTTCTGCGAAAAAAAACAATAGATTCAATGGCAATTGATAATATGAGAGTCTGTTACTGTCTCTTTAGATTCGTCCAAGAAGAATTTACAAAAAGCTCGCCGGTGATTCGTCAAATGATGTTTGATTACCTTTTCGAAAGAGGTGGATTTGATTGGTTTTCTAATGATCCACACGGAAATTTCATCATCCAGGTATGCTATACAACGATCCTGATTAAGGATAAGTGAAATGGCGAGCTATGAAAATTCTTTCTCAAATGTAGAAAATCGCAATGGAAGCGTTTCCTGGCATAGAACAAGCCAGAGTCGTCGAACATGTGGCAAATAAAGTGGTCAAAATGTGTTCAAACCGTTATGGAAGCAGAATCATGCAGCGTGTTTTCGAAAGGTTTGATTTCGGATACAGAGTTGAACTTCTGAATAAGCTCAGTGGATCGGAATGTTTCCTAGCGGTTGACAGTTGTGCTACTCACGTTATGCAGGTTTGTTTCAAATGTAAACTTTTTGACATATGCTGTCCTTTAACACATCGAATTTGAATTCATTTCAAATACAAAGAAGTTTTTATAGAAATTGTTTGCTCTTTTTCCACCGACAAAATATAGCTTTATTGTGATAGCGCTTACACTTTCGAAAGAGAATTTCAAGCAAGTTGTTCAAAACAAATATGGATGCCGCGTTATCCAATCCGCTTTAGAGGTAAAATCCTACATTTCGTAGCCTTACTGGGAGAAACTAGCAGTACTGATCTCTATGCGATTAAGAATCTCGAGTTCTGTCAGAACGATTTAAATTTAATTAAAGTTATTGGAAACGTTGTTGGAGGCACTGTTATACATAGTAATTGCAATATAGTAATGAAATATGCATTTACACCTCAAGTAATTTAATATGCATCCGAAATTCAAATACTATCCATTTTACTGAACTTTTCAGGAACTTGAAATATCGGCGTGTACCACACGCTATGCCAATACTCCAAATGAATTCAAGACAGCAAGACGACTTCTGAATAAACTACTGCGACGGCTAACAGAGAACTGTACGGAGTTTACAGATCATCAGTTTGCGAACTACGTCATGCAGCACGTCATCACCTCGGAGTTCCATCCTGATGCTCGAGATTACATTATTAAACATGCCATTCTGTACGTCTTTCAGTTGGTGCGCCATGGGAAAGCTTTACAGAAACTAGTGTATGGAGGGAGTGGTTACTGTAAACAAGATTCGACACAAAGATTTCCTATAAAAACGAAAGTAATGGAATTTGTTTGGCAAACAAAATCTTTGATTTTTTTGTAAAAAAGCTCGAATATGAACGTCGTAATGCTCTTTATATGAAGAATTATAAGCTCTCCTTCTTATATCCTTTTTTTCTTCTCACTGTCAGCAAATTTTGTTTTTCTTCACAGAAGTAATGTGCTAACGTTATCACAAGAAAAGTTTGCCTCTCATGTCGTCGAAAAGTCACTGCAACACGCATCACCAAAAGTACTGCATTGTTTGATGGGTGAAATCTTTGATGGTTATGTCAAGGATGAGTGAGTTTAGTTCTCTAATTCAGTCTTTCAAACGGAATTTCTGTATATTTATTAATCTTACTGTGGGCCAATATAAACTGCAAATTTTACAAGTATGCATTCAAATATCGTCAGCATAATCCGTTATTGTAGCATCCTATGCACTGCTTCTTCGAAGGACTATAACGTCTTCGAAACATTCCTTACTATTGTTGATCTTTCAGTTAGACTGCTGGTGATTCCAATCGTCTAATTGAGTGAAACATACAGAGAGACTTATGATGTCAATTCAAACATTTTCAGCAAAGGGCGCGATGCGCTCGATATAATGCTATTTGATCAGTATGGCAATTATGTTGTGCAAACAATGATTAACGTATCAATTGACGTATATGAAGATAGACGCGAAGGTGACCTGCTATGGCTGGCTCGCCTGTCTGAACGAATCTCTCGACATGAACCTCGACTCATGCGATATTCATCTGGTAAAAAAATAATCGAGAAAATGAAACAGGTGCTCTAATTAATGTTATGGGCTTTCCAATGATAAGCAAATCAAATTGTGATTTTATTTCAATAAGTTCAACAACTTACGTTTTAGACCGAATTATTGGGTTTTTACAATCTCATAAATATCGTAAAAAAGCTGGGATTCTAATTTTGGATTGATTTAAATTTACCGATATTCACAAAGGTCAGATTACCGAACTATTTTTAATATCAGTTTCTAAGTTCCGGTTGAGTAAAAGTTTTAGAGATTGCTGGAGTTCAATATTAGGGGGATTATGAATTCTGCTGAGGTTCCGATTATCTTCTGAGAGGAAAATTTTTGTTTTCTGGAGTTGGTTGTTTAAATTCGCTGACTGAATTAATTGGATTCAAAAGGAAAGAGAGGGAAGTGCAGTGAAAGAAGGAAGATGGAATCATTAATTTATCTCAGTAGATCAAGCTAACTTGAAGCAGTATTTGGTTAAAGAGGAATTAGAAGTCTTATTTTACTGATCAGCTGTCGACCACTGATAATGTGATTTACAGTATGCAGTTTGATCGGAATTATCACAGTTAATTCACCAAGAGCATGTACGGTAGCAATTTGGCGAATAATTGTGGGACGTTTTAATCACGCCACTTTGTCAAGTGCCTAATGTTCAATTTTCTTTTTTTTTTTTATTGTGAATCTTGTCTTTTTGGTTTTCAGTTCTTGCTTATTTCATACATGTGTTTTGGAATTCGCCTACGCATATTTTAATCGTTTTGCAAGAATTGTTTTATAGTTTGTATTAGTGTTAGCTTTCAGCTTCCATGCATTTTGTTGTCAATCTTGCCGGGTATTGCCCTTGGCTCGCAACTACCTGTACAGCTAGTTTTGTAGGTCATTAATGGTGATGACAACGATCGTCCTTCTTTAATCCTACAGCTGTATACTTCCAACATGTTTCTTATATCTGTGTTACGGTGTAGTTATTGTATGAATTAAGGTATTCATTCAATGCTTTCCAAATATACAGACTATCATTTTCAATTTGTGTAAAATTTGCAGTGTTAATAAAGTTTTTTGATGTGACAGTGTTACATTTGGATTACTTTAAATTTGCCGATCATACATTTGTGGACAGCCTTACTTTCACTTCTATGGTTCCCGATGCGAAGTGATCCAGAGCTCTATCGCGAAACTTCAATAAGGATTTTTGTACTGAAAAAAGACTCTTTCCTCTGACGAACGCAGAGAAAAAAGCTTTGTATTTAGTTTGAGCAGTAAGTGATTATTCAGTAAATTCACCTTCCATTTCAGGTGATGAGTGCTAAAATAACATCACTTGCTCGGTGGTAAAAATTGGGTGTAACAAAAGTAGTTCGTACGAGGTGTAACCTAGTCTTCTTTCCTTATCCTGTTTCTCAGGATTTAGAGGTAATGATTTATATCTGAATTTTTATATGCGCCTTTTTGTAGGTTTCAGTTTCATTGTTTGAATTTTACAGATTTCACGAGACAGTGATCAGAACCGCAGTAACCTTATGCTGACTGTTTACAAGAAGGCATGATTATATGATTCCAATGAGAAAGAAGCATCCGAAACAGAAGCGGTAACTGGTTCTTTGAAACTTTCGTTGGTTGTCCTTAATATTAATAATAATCGTTTAAGAATTGATCAAATACATTTTTCAATCAGATTTTCATGGAATAGAGAGAATATTGCTTTGACGTTTGCAATGTTGCTGTTCGTTAAGATTATAACCTTTCACTTCTCTTGGATTTGTTGAAGCAGTATTTAACTTTAAATATTTGATAGTCGCTATATGAGCCTACTATCAATTCACAGTGGCTTTGTAGACCGGTTAACACTTTTCCCGTCACTAACACTTCTGGAAAAAACGAAATGCCGCGAAACTTTGATCTATAACCTACCGAACTGTTAATATATCATTTGATTCTCCACGGCCTCTTAGTCCGATCTATAATCACTTTTCAGCAATTCCAGATTTAGGTAAATTCTTAGCTAAAGTGGAACGAGCACGGCTTCCATTTTGTAGGTCTTGTATAGAAACATTTATATGGCTTGAGAGGTATTATTATATGTCGAATTTTTCTGGTTATATTTCTCGCTTGTCAAAAATAAAGCAAATAAAATCAGGATCTAAATTGCAAAATTCGAAATTCGAGAGAAAATTTATCATCAGCGATATTAGCCTTTCGGAATAGTTTACATTGTTCGTTTAACTTTGTTAAATTTTATAATCTGATTTGCACCGATCGTGCTTTTTCAGTAACTTTGTGGAGTTTTTTGAACATTGTCACAGAAACAAAAGTACTTTGGATTGAAATTGGAATATAACTTTTGAATGCTTCTTTTCCCATAAGTCCAACAAGTCACTGACTCCTTCTTTACTAATCTTTTATTCGTGCGATTTGCAAAAATATGCAGCGCTTAAAATAATGAAAGTAAGGTGTTGTGGCTGATCGTTGTAAATGAAAGTCACTTTTATAGTCAGCGGTTCGAAATCTCGGTTGTCCAAAGTGAGAGTTAATATTTGTAAGTATACCATTTCATCATCATCATCATCTACTTTTCTCTAATGCAAAATTTACAGGATTTCAACAAAATATGTACTCATATCTAACACTAATTACTTTACTACTCTTCTTTGGTATAACTGATGCATTTTCGAGAAGGATGGTTAGTAATGCTAAATCAGTTGCACCTGAATCATTTCCATATATAGCTGAGCTGTACATTGTCTGGCCAGGTAAGTCTTAGTAACAAACAACCCTGTAAAAAACTTACTAATTTTCATATCTTCCTGTCATGAAGCTTGGGCTGTATATAAAGTGAATACGTGCATATGATTAAGCTAAATTACCTTAAATCAATTTGAATTAAGATTGATTTTTTTGCAGACCGGCAGATCTTATGCACAGCTAGTCTTTTGTCTCGTTCGATAATGATTACTGCTGCACACTGCATGGTGTAAGCATTGCATTTATGTGTTACCAGATAGTTTAATCTTATGAATTTAAACTATCTTCCATTTCTCAAGTAAGATTGCAAGAATGGGCCAAATTTATCTCACGTTACTTCCGTTACTCCTGTCTCGTAAATTTACAATTCTAGTGATGAGAAAACGAAGAAACAGCTCGGTAAAGTGAAGAAAGTAATATTTCGACAGGACCGTGGACGATCCTATGCAACTTGGGTTAGCGGTAAAATTCACGGCATGCTAAAGATATCCGACCTCGAAGTAGGCACGGCTTTTTATTCTGTTCTGTTTTTCTGTTAATTTCGCCCTGGATAATATGTCCTTCTGTTATGTGAAGATGATACGTGGTGATAGACTGGTAACAAAAATCAATAGCATAGGAATAATGATCATCCATGTTGAATGTATCAGAACATTGTTTACGAGGTGTCAGAAATCATCACCGCTGCATTAAAAATTCAGTTGACCTGAAAAAGCACTTCTTTTATACCATTATTTTTCTTAAATGCTTTGTTTTGAATCCTGAAAGGTTAGATTTATTAACTGTTCATATTGGTAGTAGGAATAATTTCTGCAGGAAAAGGAAGGAATTCTGGATTATGCATTGCTTGAATTGGAGAAACCCTTGCCGGTATGTCGTGTCAGGAATGGCAGAGTATTTTCAATTATCAAATTACCAGTGAAAGATGTACGAGCTTGCAAGTGGAAAGCTTTGCAACCATCGAAAGAATTACTCGACCAGTGCTCATTATTCGGTTACGGAGCTTCAGAAAAAGGTGTAAATACTTTGGATTTGAAAAAAAAAGGGATTTTGTCTAATTCGTGCGCAAACTACCAGTCACTTGGTTGTATAAAATGAATCTAGAAATGACTTCGATTCTTCCCAAAAAAATATTGGAAAATATTGTTTGCCAGTTGAAATTCAAATTTGTCCACCATAAGTTTCAATATACCTTTCGCTAAAGCAACTTCAATCACTTTCTTTAGTTTCAGAATTTATTATCGCTTTAATGAGATATTAAAAACCTAATCCTTTTTTAGGTGGACCGGATGGTAAGTTACGAAAATTAACAAATATTTCAGTTTGGGAAGGTAATGGACGACTTTTGATACCAATGGAAAATAATGCACAGTATACACGTCAAGGTCGAATATGTGGTGTAAGTTGAACGGCATTTAGCGAATTACTTTAATCATAAACTCCGTCAAAGTGATTCTGTTCGGAATATCACAAGAGTTCGATCGATCAAATAGACAATGACAAATATTCATTTTTCCCTTTTGCTAACCATTCATTTGTTGGAGTCATGAATTCCTTTCAGGGTGATTCTGGTGGACCTTTCGTTTGTGGTACAAATTTCGGCGAAAGGATTTATGGCATTCTGTCACATTCTGAACCAATGCTGGAATCCTATCCTTCCTCTTGCTATGGCGAAGTATGCTTAGATGTGTTTTTTAGTGCATTCTTAATATTTTTGAAAATTTAGTTTAGGAAGTTATATTTCCAACAAATCAAGAAGCAATAGACCTCTGGACAAGAGTCTCACTTTTCGTTCAACAGGTTTCTCGACATTTTCAATATTTCCGTCTATTGCGACTCTACATCACCGACTTGTTTTCCAACCCGGAAGTTTTACAGGAAAATGCGTTTTTATATGATGTAATGGGTGATGTTCGCAGAATGCTGCCTTATATCCAAGATTCATTCGCTAAG